AGCAGAGTAGCTTCTACGTGCCAATTTTCGGATGCAACGGTTGCGTTGTTACGACAGCCAAGCGGTAGCTGCAACGATTGGCTGAAAAAATAAATGAATGGGACAAGAAAACTACCGGAACTGATTAAATACATAAGAACCAAGACAAGCTTCGCGCTCCTCAGCTGCTTCTATATATAAGGGGGTGCAGTTTACTGCGCAAAATCCAGTTTACTGAAAACTTTCTAAGCGCTCTTGCAGAGGAAGGATGGTGATACAATCATACAAATTGCTGATATATATGCAGTTTTATAACGCCGTTATTGCACTATCCAGCTTGTGCACCGACCGTAATTAATTAGAAAGAGCCCCTTTTTAACTTTTTTATAGCTGCGTCCAGAGCAACTCTCAATCAAAAATGATATAAATTAATTTTAAAAAACAACATTCAAAAAGTAAGATTGTATGTTGTCCGTAAATGGCCATGGGTAAATGGCCGGAACGACTACGTAACAAATCTGATGCAATGCAACTTTTTACCGCTGACCTTGTATATGCAATTATTGGATCTACTATTTATGTCCAAGATGTTGAATGGTTACTATAAAATTGATGCCACAGAGTATTTTTGTTTAAAGGAACTCGACAGAGCCACCCGGTTATCAGAGAAACCTTTTTTCGAACTGCCGAAAATAAAGAAATCTATCTACCAACAGGAGTTTTGGCTCAGAACCTGCAAACTTGTGAACATCTTACCAAATTCAATCGACTACTCCAACCATCAGGGACTCAAACCACCGCTACTGAAGCACTTCTGGAATTACTTTATGACAAACTATAGATACAACGATATTTCGACATGGAAACTTGCATGACGCTGAAACTTAAGGGTGGAAACACCCAAGCTCTAATAGCTGAATCCATAATAATAATAATAATAATAATAATAATAATAATAATATATACCGTCAATTTGTTTGACCATTTGAAGATTTCTTTGGTCTCTTACTGTTTTTGAGAAATTTTTGTTTGTAATACGTTGTTTTTAGTTTTTTCTCAAAAAAAAACACCATTTTTTTTATTTTAACATTTTGTTTTTAGTTTTTTTGGTCTTTCAGCCATGAGGAAGCGGGTTCATCTCACCTCAAATAACCATCCTTTCCTGGAAGTTTCTGTTTTAATATGTTAAAAAGCAAACATGAGCAATCTGGATTTAGATGTTCGAAGCCCTTCGCTAGCCCAACAGTTTTATAATCAGAGCATTCAGTGAACCTGAACAGCAACCGTCAGACCTCTTGGTTAGGTTTATGAAGTTACTGTCATAAGTCGTTTTCCTCAATGATGACCCTTCTGAAACCTTTTTAAGAATTTCAAAGACCCTCAACTATAGACCCTGTACCAACACAAGACCCACGGTCAAAAAACTAAATTACAAAATGGGCTCTTCCGTTTAGTTACGGTAAGTGCACAAGCTGGATAGGGCCATACCAGCGTTATAAAAATGCATATATATCAGCAATAAAGTCATAAATCAGCATTAAATGCATCGTCGTAATGTTAATTTATCTTAGCCGTCCTTCCTCTACAATTGCGCTTATGGAGTTGTCGATCAATTGAATTTTGCGTAGCGATCTGCACCCCTTATACAAAGTAGAGCTCCTCAGGAGCGCGAAGCTTATTTTAGTTCTTATGTAGATTATAGATTCTGGATAGCTTTTTAGTCTTTTTTCACTTAGTTTTTCGGCTAATCGCTGCATCGTCCGCGTGGCTGTTGAAGCAGCGCCACCGGTGCATCCAAAAATTAGCGGGCAGAAGCTACTCTGCTCTACGATTAAAATTCTTTGCTGATATTTGGAGTTCTTCAGCGTTTCGTGGTATTTGCGTTTGTTTTCGCGATGTTTTGGCATGGGGGTTGAAAGTTGGGTGCAGTAAAAGTCCTCTCAATGATTGCAAATTTTGCCTCCAAATATGAAAGCTAAACATCACATTGTAGTTTTCGAGAAATAAAGTGATTACGCTTTTTTAAAATTCTATATGTTCTTGATCCCTACAGTACCGGATCTTTAGGACTGGATAGAAAATTTAATTTTGCGATTGGTTACTTCAACCTGTCTTAGTACTCTTTAGTACCGTCACCCCTTTCTTTATACTGTTCCAAGACTTCCTCTCTACTGCCCCAAGACTATTCAGTGCTGTCCCAGTACTTCTTGTTAGTGTCCCAAGACCACTGTCCCAAGACCCTTGCCCTAAGACTACTGTCCCAAGACTAGTGACCCAAGACCACTGTCCCAAGACTACTGTCCCAAGACTACTGTCCCAAGACTACTGTCCCAAGACTACTGTCCCAAGACTACTGTCCCAAGACTAGTGTCCCAAGACTACTGTCCCAAGGCTGCTGTCCCAAGACTAGTGTCCCAAGACCACTGTCCTAAGACCACTGTCCCAAGACTACTGTTCCAAGACCACTGTCCCAAGACCATTGTCCCAAGATCACTGTCCCAAGGCCACTGTCCCAAGACTACTGTCCCAAGACTACTGTCCCAAGACCAGTGTCCCAAGATTGTTTCGTGCCAAGACTGCTCTGGTCCAAGACCGTCCCAAGACTGCACCGTCCCAAGACTGTCCCAAGACCGTACTGCTCCAAGACCGTCCCCAGACTGCAATGTCCCAAGACTTCTTCGGTACTGTCCCAAGACTTGTCACTAAGTGTCCGGATATAGGATCTCTTCTTCTTCGTTGTGGGGACTCTTGAACCACTGTACCGTGTACCACCACTTGAGCTCTAGTAAAAAAAAAATTCCAAAATCCCTATCTTAATGGCCAAAACCCAAACACTGACCCCCTGTATTTATCTCCCTCTCGTTGTTTCAGGCTATTTGAAACCCTAACTTCCTCGCAGGTATCTTGTGATCACCTGTTCGTTCAAATACCAACAACAAATTTTCACCAAAACGTAAAAATTTAAACAGGAAAAATTCCAAAAACAGAGAGATCAACCCACCTAAAGTTCAAGGTTGACAGATGTCAACCTTTGTCCGAAAATATGTCTGGTACCCGGTTGCCACGCGTTTTCCTCCCCCCTGCTAGCGATCTTATGGGGTATCACAAAAACTGTCTATGTCCGTTCCCTCCTACCGATCCGACCAGGATACCTACCATAACTCGATGTTAAATTTGGATATCCGCTTCTTATAACCAACGCGTGTAAGTATCTAATGTAACTAAATCGATGATGCCGAACAATTAATTACTCTAATGTGTCCCCCCTTTTTACACTTTACAACCGCGAACCTCTAACCTAACCAATCCCCTTCTAACCTCCCCCCTCTTTAGTCCCCCTCTTAAGCCAAAAAATCCCTTAAGCGCCGGGTGCTAAACCTCTCGAGAGAAAACCGTAGACCTGTTTCCAGGCCTGCTTGTGTAAAAATTTCCTCAAAACAATATGGCTCCGCTTGTCCAATTTTACACTTATCTCCTATAATGTAATGTGGATTTTAACGATACCAGTTTGCCCAACTTGAGAACACCCCTGTGCGTCCTCTTCTTGTTGTAGTGATCCCGTGCTGGTTGTCCCCTTGACGTCACTGCACTTGACACCAGCACCACCTTCCCACTTGGCTGGTCACCTCTTCCAGTCAAGTTTCCTAGCGGTCCGGTTCTGTCCTTGTGAACCACTCTCCCACTCGGCTGGTCACCTTTTCCAGTCAAGTCTCCTAGTGATCCGGCTAGGTTGCAAGCTATCTGAAAACCCTTAACAACGCCCCCCACTTGGGCACCTTATTGAAGTCACTGGTTTAGATTGCTAGATTGATCGAAACGATCGGTCTTATAAAACAGTATGGGTATACAATTTAATTAATATAAAGGTTTGATCCAACTAATCTGGTATCAAAGTCACTGTCTTTTTTTTGTTTTATGGTTTTGTCCCTTTTTCTTGTTTTTGTTTCCTTTTTTAGTGTTTTTGCTCGTGTTTTTGTTCCCCTAGTTACCCCCCCTTACTCGGTTAGCTAGGCCTTGTTCTCAAGTTTTCTTAAAAAGCTATCACGATACAACCGGAAGGCTTACATGTTCCCACTGAACCGTACCACCGGTACTCTAGAATGGGCTTACAGCCCGAAGCTGTGTGAAGTGGGTTCGACTCCGTAGTCATGATGTCGTAAAAACAACCAGAAGCGCCATAAAAACACTGTAACAGTCGCCTACTTCGGTCACAGGTGAGGCTTAAGAAAAATAGGCCCTATAACCATTGGCTCAAGAGTCAGGGACACTATCTCTTGTGTTTTTCTACCTCAAAAACGGTCGGAGCCAATTCGGTTCGCTTGCGACATGAGACTAGAACCCGTTACAGCTCAAAGGCTACTACCAAAATATCCCCCCACTCTAGAAAATAAGAACGTTCCCATACTTAGGTCTCGAAATACCCAAAATGCACGAATGCCGTTAAAAACAGGGTCGGAACAATCCGTTAAGTTACTTTTCATTAGACAGTGGAACTTTGATCCATTTCAGATGGACCAACCTAAAACTCGCCTTATCTCAACATAACAATCATAAAACACACTCGAGAAAACTAAATTTGGTACTTACATAGCAGCACGCTTGAGACACAGAGTAATTAAACTAATTAACGACTCTGGCATAAATATAATCAAATATAACTCAAGAAGTTTTCTAACGATGAATCCCAATCAAGGGAAGTAAGTTTTAACTCAAGAATATAGTTTTGGCTCTGGACCATTGGGAGACTTAGACTTCACTTGTCCGCCTTTCCGTTGAAGGTTTACACTGGTCCAGTTGATTTAAGCTCTGCTCTCGTGTTCGGTTGGTCTCCTATGTCAGATTCAGATAGGACAGCTCTACTCTAGTTTTCTACGTTGGAAATTGCGAATAGCGATTTCCCACTGTATATATTTGACAACTTTCCCGCAATTGTTAATTCGGTTGTTCTGATTTCTTATTTTATGTTTTCAGTTGTCGCGAGAAAACTGAGCATGACAGGCTCCATTCGAATTTTTGAAAAATAAAACTTCACTCCAAAATCACGTATATTCGTGTCCCTCAAGGTCAAACTTCTAGATATGACCGACTGGCACAATGGTTCATCAATTTACAAATGTTATTTTATTGGGTCTAAGGATTTTAGCAGACCAGTTTTTTAGCAGAATCAGAACAATTATAAAGTGTGATAGCTAACTTCAAACGCGGCATTGGCGATTAGCGACCGCTTGCTCCGCTGCGCTTCAATTCAACACGAGTGTTATTGTGCGCGTAAATCTTTGTTTAGCCGCTAATTTAGACTGTTGAGTTTCAAAGTTGTTAGTTTTGTGGACAAATTGTCTGATAATTGTCTTAATTGGAGAAGCTTGGCCCAGACTGAGCGTCTTTTTGAGTCTGTCAATCAATCATCCATCACTTTTTTTAGGTTGGTCTGCTAAAAGACTCATTTTTCACTTTTTATGCTAAAAGATTGGTCTGCTAAACGATCGGTCCCTTGTACAGTTTTCGATGTATTTGTATAAGTCTAGCGTGGCCCTATCCTGCTTGTTCACTGACCGAGCCTAAAAAGAGGGTTTTTTATAAAGAGGCCACAATATATGAAGCTAAATTTTTCATGAAAATTGATACTTTTGTAATTTATAGCGAAGATTACCAATTTAGTCTGATTGCTGCGGCCTGTGAGTTTTTGTGACAGCTGAGATGAAAGTTTTTAGCTTTCAGCTCGATGTAATGAGTATCCAAACTTTTGAGCTCAGTGGTTTGCTTGATGAGTGCGACCTAGCTCTGTTGAACGTCAGTATCTCTTGCTTCGATTTGGAGCAAGATAATTTATTTATCGGAACAACTAATGGCCAAGTCATTCAATTTTCTATTGCAACTAACAGTAGAAAATCTGCTGTCTTTTCAACGGAGCACCTGGCTACAACAAAGCTTCCTGTTTCCTCCAGAATAAGCAATCTTTTTTGTTCATTGTCGATATCTGCTATTATTTGCGTCTGCGACGAGCAATTATACTGTTTACAATCAAATAGTTTAAAAATTGTGTCATCTCTTAGTGGCAGAGCAAAATCGATTTCATGCATGAGTATAAACCAGAATCCTGTAAATGACGACACAATAGGAGTAGAGTTTCTAATAGGCACTTCGCGCAAAATGATCCAGTTGTTCCATCTCTCACTGGACTATAAGTTATCTCTAATCAAGCAAGTGTCTGTGTCTGAAATACCGATTTGTATCGCTGTCGACAGTTGGGTGGCTATATGGGCGTCATCTGGGGCTTATTACATAACAGACATGAAAAATGGCACATCTTCAATGCTATTTCCTTACCAAAAAGGTAGTATAGTGGAGCCATTTGTGAAGCGCATTGGTGTTGGCGAGTTCATTTTGAATGGGCCAAATGCTCTTGGTGTTTTTGCCAATAGTCAGGGTGTTTCACAAAAACCACCTCTTACATGGTCACCGACAACATTCGCTACTGCTTTCTCGCATCCGTATGTTCTGGCTTTAGATGACGAATTTCTGACCGTGCATAGTGTTCTAGATCAGATTCAGAAGCAGAGTATTCCATCTCCTGGCTGGAAACATCTGGAAAATACAAACGGAAAAGTAGTTGTTGGTTCGAGCAGAGACCTACTAGTCGCTTTGTTGTTGACTCAGCAGCAACAGATAAAGGGATTACTCGATGAGAAGAGAATTGACGAAGCTCTAGCTGTTTTGGATAATTATTATCAGACTAATTCGGCGAAAAACGAAGAAGACTTCTTCGCATTCAAGAGAAAAACGGAACAGAAATGCGCTTTTTTTAAGCTCAAAAATAGAGAGTTCTCAGAAGCTAGACGTCTTTTCCTAAGTTCCGATTTGCAGATTGAAACTTTGATAGGAATGTGGCCTTCATGTAGTAAAACAAGCAGTCGTTTCAAATGTAAAGAAATCAACATCGACGAGTTATGCGCTCAAAACGCATCTCATTTCAATCAGTATGCAGATTTTTATATTTCAATAATCATGCAATACATACGAAGTGATTCAGTTTACAGTGAAACATTAGATGCATGTGCTGAAATTTTGATCAATCTCTATTGTCAAACAGATTCGGTTAAGTTATTTGAGCTCATAGACCAGAATTTTTTTCTACCCTTTAATGGAGACTTGGTGGTGGCCCTGCTCAAAGAAAACAAGCAGTGGCACTCAGCCGCTTTACATTTGAATAAAATTTTCAACGAGAAAGTTTCTCTGCAAATTTGGATGGATCTAGTGGATAATAAAATTGAAGACCCTTTATTTCCCGGTATACATTTTCTAACCGATCCAATTTCAAAGTTTCAAACCACTCGTGTTGTATTAGATGCATTGCACTGGTTGTGCGAAAAAGGCGAAGACAAACTTGCTTTGCCTTTAGCCATTGAGAGGGCGAATCTAGTTGATCTTGATTCATCATTTCATCCCTCCAAGATGGTCACAGAGTTCGACCAGCATTCTGATTTCGTTCTCAGGTTTCTTGAAGCCCTGTATAAAAAGTGCGATTACAATGTGAACTTGATTTTGTTCAAACGATTTCATAGGAAAGTACATGAGATAAAAAATGAACAATTTACAGACGAAATTTCATACAGAGACAGATTTCGAACATTTTTGAGAGGCTCACCGAGTTTAAATCTGCAAGAGGCGCTATCATACTTTGCTAACTGTAGCTGCTGTGAGGAGGAAACACTTATCCTTTTAAGAAGACTCGGTCTGCATGAAAAAGCCCTCTCCCTTATTCTGAAAGATAACGGTGTCACTGAATTTGAATCAGCTCTCGACTATTGTGAAAAAGTTCAAGATGAAAGTGGCGAAAAATTGTACGAAAGTTTGTTAGATCGACTGAACAACAAGACTCTCTGTTTAGAGTTAATTAAACGTCATGGGAACAAAATCAGTCCTTCGAAGACATTACAGTACATTCCTGACGATTTCAAACTGAAAGATGCTAGTGCTCATGTCACAAAAGCTCTCAAATGTAGAGCAAATGCGAGTAGTTTGCTTAGCTTACGCCAATACGCAACTCTACAAGTTGCTCAAGACTACAAGGCCAAAGAGCTTGAAATGATCAAAACCCTTGGTCCCATTTGTATTGACGACAATTCCACATGTTGTGTATGCAATGGTCCGTTTTTTGAATCCGCCTTTGTCCGTTTACCAGGCTTTAATAATGCCACATCAAGTGAACCGCAAATAGTTCACGTTACTTGCATGACCGATTCAACGACAAACTGAAAGCCATATGGTAAAGCATCGATTAACTAATTCCAAGTGACATGATACCAAATTCCAAGATGGGAAATCAAACGCACGTGGGAAAGAATTGAGCTAAATGGAATCAATAAAGCTTTCTCTTTCTTCAAATCCTTTATGGAAAATATAAATATTTATAAATGCTACTCAAGTATAGACGAACACGCTTATTATATGGATGTTATGTAAATGGCTGATTCCGCATACATTCACTCGTGTCATCTGTGCTAAACATGCTCAAATGATGCAAATCAATTTTAAGAGAAACATTAGATTTAGCAGTCTTTATTTTAATTAAAATATGTTTGATCTAGCTTTTGGCAAAATTTCCGTCTTTTTGGAAGAAAGTTTTTCAAGCTGGATTGTGGTATCCACGAAAAGTGAGTTTTTTATTGACAGGTTTTGAATAGATGAACCCTTGCAGTATTCAACGCAAAAGACTACCATGACTGCTTAAATTGAAGATGACATCAGTTTCTGGCCCAACTAGGTGGCTTAAGGCTAAAAAGTACTCGGCTGCGGTACTTTTTACCCTTAAACCACCTAGTTCACCAGATGAGCCAGAAATTGAGGTCATCTTCAATTGAAGTAATCATGGTAATCTAAATATGTTTTTAAATGCAGTGGTACTGTATCTAAAGCTGAAATTGCAAAATATTTTCCAGAAGTAATTAGGTGTTTTTTTTTGTCGGCTGTGTAAATTTTGTCTGTTTTTACCGGCTTGCTTGCCTTGCCGTGTTTTATTGGCTTTTCCACCTCTCCCACTTTTCAAAATTTCTGTTTTATAGTTGTGTGACGTGTTTTTTGTACAGTGCTGATTTGAATTATCCGGACAAAACTTGAATTTTCAAACGCGTTTTTCTCAAATTGGGTTAAGATTAGACAAAAAGTGAAGAGGACAAAAGTTGCTTAGAATTTCACCAAAATTAATATGGTGCCATTTTTTCTCCGAAATTCTCAACAAAAACTTTACCCCAAAAATGGGTCATTTTGGCTTTTTTCAATTAATCAAGAATTACGCTGAAACTACTTTGTTAATTGATATGAAAAATATATCACAGGAAGCCTCTTACGCAGTTCAACAAAGTTTAAGAAGGGTTAAATCTCCAAAAACCAGTGTAAATGAAAAAATTTTCACTTGATAGTCAATAAATGTGATTTTTACTATATAAAACCCAGAATCTCTGTAAAAATAAATTTTAAACAATTTGTGCAAATTTTTGGAGATTTAACCCTTCTTAAACTTTGTTGAACTGCGTAAGAGGCTTCCTGTGATTTATTTTTCATATCAATTAACAAAGTAGTTTCAGCGTAAGTCTTGATTAATTGAAAAAAGCCAAAATGACCCATTTTTGGGGTAAAAATTTTGTTGAGAATTTCGGAGAAAAAATGGAACCATATTAATTATGGTGAAATTCTAAGCAACTTTTGTCCTCTTCACTTTTTGTCTCATCTTAACCCAATTTGAGAAAAACGCGTTTGAAAATTCAAGTTTTGTTCGTTTTGTCCGGATAATTTAAATCAGCACTGTATTTAGCTTGAGGTAAATCCACACTTCGATTGTGCTTGATTGTTGATATTAAAGCCAGTTTTTTCGAATTTTTGAAAAAGTATAAGCGAGTAATCGCTTTTTTGAATAAAAAAATTAATAAAAAATGTTTAATAAAGAATGATTGAAAAAAATTAGGTTTGGAAATAAGAAGATATTTTTGAATGGATAAATCAAGCTTTGTTGCACTCATTGTTTGGTAATGGATAAACAATTGGAAGCCAAATGAAGTCAGTAGCGTTATTCCTATGAATCACTAGCGTCATTTTGATTTTTTCAGTAAAATTTCAGGTGTTTTGTTTTTGATTTTTCTTCTGAAGCTCGGAAATACTTGGCAGTTTGCCTGCTGACGTATTTGAACCAGCTGCAACTGGTGCAATCAATTGATAAACAGCTGATTAATTGAAAATGTTCGGCGATTAATTGGTGTCAAATAGTGTTTCATGAAATTCGCTTGCTTATGCTAAAAGATAAATAATTGAGATGGGTAATCTATGAATATCAATAATTGAGATAGCATGAAGATTTTTTTGTTCCCATAGATTAGGAAAGGACAAAGGTGTTAGGTGGTGTTTCCGCCCTCTTTTGACTGCCTCAAAATAATCTCGTAGGTGGTCAAATTCGGTATCGTATATAAGCTTTTCCAGTTGCAATTCGGCTCAGTTTATAAACTGAGCCAAGTTTTTGGTTGCTTTTTCGGAACAGCTCTTTTTAAGTTACCGATTATTTGGTATTTTTTCTAAAGTTGCCAAAAAGTAGTGTAGTGGGAGCATTCTGTGATTGTTGCACGGCAACCGGCGCTTCTTGCAGCTAATTTTCAGACTTTTGGGGCTTTTGCAATTGTTTTTGACAAAAGTCGATTTTTGAAGATTTTTTTCATTTGATTTCAATCGTACTCATTCATTTTTAAACCGCAAGTGGCGCGAAGCTCAACTTTGTCTCTGTGATTAAATTGATTTGTATTTGTATTTGACGACAATTCCACATGTTGTGTATGCAATGGGCCGTTTTTTGAATCCGCCTTTGTCCGTTTACCAGGCTTTAATAATGCCACATCAAGTGAACCGCAAATAGTTCACGTTACTTGCATGACCGATTCAACGACAAACTGAAAGCCATATGGTAAAGCATCGATTAACTAATTCCAAGTGACATGATACCAAATTCCAAGATGGGAAATCAAACGCACGTGGGAAAGAATTGAGCTAAATGGAATCAATAAAGCTTTCTCTTTCTTCAAATCCTTTATGGAAAATATAAATATTTATAAATGCTACTCAAGTATAGACGAACACGCTTATTATATGGATGTTATGTAAATGGCTGATTCCGCATACATTCACTCGTGTCATCTGTGCTAAACATGCTCAAATGATGCAAATCAATTTTAAGAGAAACATTAGATTTAGCAGTCTTTATTTTAATTAAAATATGTTTGATCTAGCTTTTGGCAAAATTTCCGTCTTTTTGGAAGAAAGTTTTTCAAGCTGGATTGTGGTATCCACGAAAAGTGAGTTTTTTATTGACAGGTTTTGAATAGATGAACCCTTGCAGTATTCAACGCAAAAGACTACCATGACTGCTTAAATTGAAGATGACATCAGTTTCTGGCCCAACTAGGTGGCTTAAGGCTAAAAAGTACTCGGCTGCGGTACTTTTTACCCTTAAACCACCTAGTTCACCAGATGAGCCAGAAATTGAGGTCATCTTCAATTGAAGTAATCATGGTAATCTAAATATGTTTTCAAATGCAGTGGTACTGTATCTAAAGCTGAAATTGCAAAATATTTTCCAGAAGTAATTAGGTGTTTTTTTTGTCGGCTGTGTAAATTTTGTCTGTTTTTACCGGCTTGCTTGCCTTGCCGTGTTTTATTGGCTTTTCCACCTCCCCCACTTTTCAAAATTTCTGTTTTATAGTTGTGTGACGTGTTTTTTGTACAGTGCTGATTTGAATTATCCGGACAAAACTTGAATTTTCAAACGAGTTTTTCTCAAATTGGGTTAAGATTAGACAAAAAGTGAAGAGGACAAAAGTTGCTTAGAATTTCACCAAAATTAATATGGTGCCATTTTTTCTCCGAAATTCTCAACAAAAACTTTACCCCAAAAATGGGTCATTTTGGCTTTTTTCAATTAATCAAGAATTACGCTGAAACTACTTTGTTAATTGATATGAAAAATATATCACAGGAAGCCTCTTACGCAGTTCAACAAAGTTTAAGAAGGGTTAAATCTCCAAAAACCAGTGTAAATGAAAAAATTTTCACTTGATAGTCAGTAAATGTGATTTTTACTATATAAAACCCAGAATCTCTGTTTAAAAATAAATTTTAAACAATTTGTGCAAATTTTTGGAGATTTAACCCTTCTTAAACTTTGTTGAACTGCGTAAGAGGCTTCCTGTGATTTATTTTTTATATCAATTAACAAAGTAGTTTCAGCGTAAGTCTTGATTAATTGAAAAAAGCCAAAATGACCCATTTTTGGGGTAAAAATTTTGTTGAGAATTTCGGAGAAAAAATGGAACCATATTAATTATGGTGAAATTCTAAGCAACTTTTGTCCTCTTCACTTTTTGTCTCATCTTAACCCAATTTGAGAAAAACGCGTTTGAAAATTCAAGTTTTGTTCGTTTTGTCCGGATAATTTAAATCAGCACTGTATTTAGCTTGAGGTAAATCCACACTTCGATTGTGCTTGATTGTTGATATTAAAGCCAGTTTTTTCGAATTTTTGAAAAAGTATAAGCGAGTAATCGCTTTTTTGAATAAAAAAATTAATAAAAAATGTTTAATAAAGAATGATTGAAAAAAATTAGGTTTGGAAATAAGAAGATATTTTTGAATGGATAAATCAAGCTTTGTTGCACTCATTGTTTGGTAATGGATAAACAATTGGAAGCCAAATGAAGTCAGTAGCGTTATTCCTATGAATCACTAGCGTCATTTTCATTTTTTCAGTAAAATTTCAGGTGTTTTGTTTTTGATTTTTCTTCTGAAGCTCGGAAATACTTGGCAGTTTGCCTGCTGACGTATTTGAACCAGCTGCAACTGGTGCAATCAATTGATAAACAGCTGATTAATTGAAAATGTTCGGCGATTAATTGGTGTCAAATAGTGTTTCATGAAATTTGCTTGCTTATGCTAAAAGATAAATAATTGAGATGGGTAATCTATGAATATCAATAATTGAGATAGCATGAAGATTTTTTTGTTCCCATAGATTAGGAAAGGACAAAGGTGTTAGGTGGTGTTTCCGCCCTCTTTTGACTGCCTCAAAATAATCTCGTAGGTGGTCAAATTCGGTATCGTATAAAAGCTTTTCCAGTTGCAATTCGGCTCAGTTTATAAACTGAGCCAAGTTTTTGGTTGCTTTTTCGGAACAGCTCTTTTTAAGTTACTGATTATTTGGTATTTTTTCTAAAGTTGCCAAAAAGTAGTGTAGTGGGAGCATTCTGTGATTGTTGCACGGCAACCGGCGCTTCTTGCAGCTAATTTTCAGACTTTTGGGGCTTTTGCAATTGTTTTTGACAAAAGTCGATTTTTGAAGATTTTTTTCATTTGATTTCAATCGTACTCATTCATTTTTAAACCGCAAGTGGCGCGAAGCTCAACTTTGTCTCTGTGTTTAAATTGATTTGTATTTGTAACATCAGCAGTGAATCTTGAAAATTTAAGTTATCTTAAATTTTTTTTTTCTGTTATTTCGAGACACTGAGTGATGAGGTTTCGAAAAGGAACCATGTCGTAGGATAATTTTTCCAGCACTAATTAAGGTAACTCATCAAAAAGCTTGCAGGGATAGAATTTTGTGTCATGTTAAAGCCTTTTTGGGCAAAACAAAAATCCATGAAAGCTTTTGGTCCTAAATTGGTCGGATTTTTTTTGCGACGAATTTTATCGGCAGACGAAAACAATCGCGCTCGAGTTACTCCTAATATGATTTTACTATTGGCCAAATTATTTGGTCCGACCTCTGAAAAGAGAAAAACTGTCATCGGGCGTGTTTTAGATTTTTGTTTTCAATGCAAAATCAGGTACCACAAATAGTCATGGGACAAGGTAAAGTGATAAATCATATTGAAGAGCTTCTAGTCGTGATTCGATCGACATTGAAAAATTTCTACAATTTTTTTCTTTTGTCGAGAAAAACCGGTTCGAAGTTTTTGATTTTACTATTTTCGATTGAGAAAAATGATTAAGTAACGTTTATTATGTATGAAAATTAGAAATTAAGCCTAAAAACTTGATTTTACTAAAAGAAGCTTCAGTTAGCTCTTCTCTTTCATTTAGCTCTTCTCTTCTCTGGCTGGAGTAATGAACGTTGTGAAGATGTGCGTATTATTGCATTTTTCAAAGCACTTAGGTATATATGCACTTTTTGAGTTCAATTGAAATTCATCTGGTGAAAATAACGTAAATACGAACGTGGAAATGGCGCAAAAAACGTGAACGATTTTTTTTTGTTTCGATTTTTAGATTTCAGCGGAATAAAAACTTTACCTATTGATCCAGTTTTCTCAAATTCGGATAATGTTATTATCAAAGTAGCAATCATAAATTGTTATAGAAATTCAAAGAGCTTAAAGGGTATCTAATTTTTATTTGAAATTCTTAAGTTCATTACTCTTTTCTAACTCTCAGATGGCTGTTTTATCTATTTTTTTATTGAAGATCATTGGGTTCGTTTATGCCTAATTCACTAATTTTCTACGCGTTCGTATAGTTGTATTATCACACGACGTACAAAAAAGACACTTACTTGAAGAAAAAGAGTATTTTTTGAAAATGTGGTCGGAACATTCTGTGCTACTTGCACAGCAACCGGCTATCCTTGGTTAACGTATACTTGCGTTTTTTACTTGTTGTACATTGGATGAATTTGTATTGTTTGTGTTGCTTTTTCAGTTAGCATGTCGTCAGCAGTAGCTGCAGGAGGGCGTCGTGGAGGTCAGCCGCCGCCAGTGATTGGGACAGCAGGAACAGGAACAGGGGGAGGCTACAAGAGTAGAATTTGTGGCCAGTACAGTATGCACCGGGCGTGTGAGAGTGGAGACAGCTGTGGCATGGCACATGGAAAGAAGGAGTTGAGGACTTATGAGAACCCTCTCTACAAGAGCCAGCTCTGCACCGCCTTCACTCAGAGCGGCACTTGCCAACTAGCTGTTAGTTATCATCATCCATCATCACTCAATATGCATACAAATATCAAGTAGAGATGTATTTTTAATTGACACAATATACTTCACAATATAAAGGTGTGTTTTTGAAGTAGATATATTTTTTCGTTTTTGGTTGATTAGTTCAAAAACTTCTTAAAAATTTCTGTAGTTTAAAGTTTCTCTGTAGAAAGAGCCAAATATATTGAGTTTCTCGGTTGAAATACTTATCAGTTGTCCCTGAAACCCTCTTTTCAACTGTGATACTAACTTTACAAGGATCTCATCTCCCTTTTTCACACATGATTTGTGATTGTGAAGTGTATTCATTCCTTTGACAGGAAATCAAAAATGCGTTGTCAGTAAATGGCCACTTTTAACCTGTTATGACATCTTATAATGTGATATAGTTGTTTCCAGCATGAAAACGACTCTGAACGTTCTTAACAACATGAAAACGGCTCTGAACGTTCTTCCCAGCATGAAAACGACTCTGAACGTTCTTCACAACATGAAAACGGCTCTAAACATGCTTAAATATTATACCTTTTTAGGTCAAATGAAAATGCATATCAGGATGTATGCAACTATAACTATTAGAGTAACAGAGAAGCTCATAGCAGACAGTAAAAAAGCTACTAGAGTTATGATCGGAAGTTATTAAAGTTCGGTTGACTCCCTCTAAAAATTGAATGCAATCGATGGTATTCTTTTCATGGGTTTTTTAATGGTGCGCTGAAAAATAATAAAAGAGTTATGCTACAATTTCTATGGTGTAACTAGTGATTTTTAAAGGTTGTGCTTGTATACAATCGGGCTACTTATTTTTGCCCCAACCTTTCATAAAATTGAATTTTCTAGTGTAACAAGTGTTTTTGCAGGGTTGAGTATGAAGACTAAATAAGTTTGGAATAGCTAATTTAGTCAGCATGCCAATTTTTATAAAGCAATCAGAGATTATGAGCAAAAGTTATTATAGTTAAGTTTCGCAGGTGTGGGAGAGAATACAAAAGGCGCTTGAAATGAAACAGCACAGTGCTGGTTTAAATTAACCGGACAAAATGAACAAAATTTGAAAATGAATGTTTCTCAAAGCGAGTTGACATAAGACAAAAAAGACGAGAGCTAAAGTTGCTTAGAAATTACCAGAATTAATATGAGCACTTTGGTTTGCGGTGGAAAAATTTGCCTGAAATTGGTCATTTTTGGCTCCTTTTAGTTAATCGAAAGTGGTGCAAAAATTACAGGGTCAATTGTTGAACAAATTTGTCTTTTTTCATCTAAATGAGCTTTTTACATGGCCCAACAGCATTTAAGAAGGACTTAATCTCCCAATTTCTGAGCAAAACGTTCAAAAATGTTCTTACTAAAAAATGTATTTAATGTAGTAACAACAACTTTTTTCGGCTCAAATATACCTACTTATACCTGAATAAGAAGATTTTAGCCCTCTTAAATTTTGTTAGGCTATGTACAGGGCTCATTCAGATATGATTTGTTTAACATGGACCTGGTAGTTTTTGAAAAACTAAAAGGAGCAAAAATGAAAGATTTTGGAGTAATTATTAAATTGCACTATATAAATATTGGTTACTTTCTATGACACTTTTCCTCTGTCTAATGTCAACTCAATAAAAAACTAATGTAAAGTTTCCACTTTTTTCGTTGTCCGGGTAGAAAAATTCAACCTTTTGATATTTTGGAGGTTGACACAAATACAAATATAATTTAACAAGACTGCTCGTTTTAATGCAAAGTCCCGAATGTTCCGGCTGCCATTTAACTGGTCTCGAATAGTTTGTGTTAATTGAATTATTGACAAAGTATGAATTTTAGGCTGATAATATCCAATTTTAAGTGTTAAAGTTTGAGTCGTGTATGGGTAATAAGACCATGAATAAAGACAATTTAGTTTGCCTCAATTGAAGTTGAAACGGTTTTGTAGTGCGGGATAATTCGCCACGCGTAAATTCAAATGATAAAACGAGTCGTTTTTATAGACCATGTCAGGTTAATATCGTGGTGGCCGCACCCGCTGCGGTCCACAAAGATTGATTGATCCCCCGGATTGATCCCCGAGTGAGCAGATATTCTTTTGGAAATTGATCTGAATAAAATAAAACCAGTGGAACATAGATATTCTTCATTGTCTTCGAAAGTATGAAGAAAAACAGCGGATGGACAATAGGGCTTATTGTTTCGACTGTATGCTTGGGGTGGTCTTTTTGTTAAGTGAATATTCGACATTTTAACTTGCGTTTCTGATAGATATTTGTCATACCATCTGAAAGTTGTTGTCTGAAGCTCGAATCTAAAAAAATATCACCCTTCAAGTTATAGGGGTTTGAGATTTGCTAACTTTGGATAATTAGCGCGCGACATATTGCGCTCGTATAACACGCGTAGGCGGCAGAGTAACTTGTTCCAACTTGAAGTCATATGGTCAGGTTTCCAGGATATGAATAGCTAAGTACATAACTTTTTACTTTACATAGCGTGTGTTGGTATAAAACGAAGAAAAATGAAAAAAATATATATTTTTTCTCGACATTTTTTCAACCAAAGTGTTTTTAATTGGCTTTACAGTGCACTCGGAACATTCAGGGCTTTGCCCTGGTATTCGAGCAGTCTTGCTTCATTAACAAAGCTTTATTATGTTTTCATATCCTACTAATGATGTTTGTTTTAAGGACGACTGTCTCTTTGCGCATGATGCGCTAGAGTTGAGACCTGACGACGATGAACTAGAAGAACTATCTATTGGGTCCTCCAACCAAAATAACCAGATGGGCGGCGGCACTCACCTGAACAGGCAGCCGCCGCCGGGTACTGGGAGTGGCAGCGACAGTGGAGGCAGTCCCATATCAGGATCTTCCCAGCAACACCATCAGCATCAGTCTACTCCGCTATCTTCCCACCAACAACCCACCAGAATTCTATCACGATCATTTGCCAATAATTCAATAGAAAACGGAGGAAGTTCACACGCTGGCGGTAACATGATGCAACGCTCGCATAACGGCAACAGCACCAACTCAGGTCCCCCGTCGTGTCACGCGTTCCAGCGCAACGGATCCTGCAACCGTGGCGCCAACTGCCAGTACGCACATGTCCCCAAAATGTCAGGTATGGGTGGGGGAGGAGGAGATATGAGTGACAACTCTAGTGTAGTCAGCGGGGGTTATGCAATGGGGGGACAGATGGGAGAGAATGGGGCAAGTGGAATGATGGGATCTAAGTACAAGACTGCCCTGTGCCATGCTTTCCAGAAGAACAACAGATGTGCTAATGGAGACAACTGCAGGTCAGCCATCGTTTTTTATCACCTTCTTTGTTTTTTTTGTTCCTATCCCTCTCTCTACTTGCAAACGTTTATTAAGAGTAATGATGGTAGTGAGTACTCTTATATAGGTCTTCGAGATTTTTTAGTGTTTTTTTTAAGGAAAAAGTCTTAAAAATTGTTCACGCTCAATTTTGATTTTTCGCGGTTTGACTTTTTCAAGTTCACTTCATTTCCTTTGTTAAAAGGAAGGCAAACTCTACTATAGATCAGCAAAAATAAAACAAAAAAGGTCACGAAAATGTGATCGACTTCTAATTTCGAAAATGGATATCAGTTTACCCAGCGAAATAAAAATTTTACCTATAGATCCAGTTTTCTCAAATTAGGTTAATTCTATCAAAAAGGATCAAAGGTAAATTGTTCTTTAAATTCAAAGAGGTTCCGTGAATTTATTAACTGTTTTCCAATTCTGATGGCTCTTTTCTATGTTCCGCGCAAAATCAGGAATAACATAATCATCAGAATCTCTCGAGTGATGCTCCATTTTAAGGCCTTTTTAGTCGAAAATTTTTTCAAAAAATTGTCCCAGTGTCGATTGGTTGTAATTTTATCAACTCCGATTTTAGTGTGTCAGTGTTTGAGCGTTTTTATGCTCATTTATCTCTTTATTTGACATGAAAGGTTTCGACTTTAATATGTCGAGGCTTTTTATATAGAGGCTTCTTTTAAAGTAGTTCGAGGAGCAAAAAGTTTCATCTAAATGTTTTGAGAGGGACAATTTTTTCTGAGCACATTTGTTACCGTTTCTAAGTATTGTTTCGATGCTTTCTTAACGTTCAATGATCTTGCTTTTGGCATAGTTTCTTTTATTCAAGACAAAATCAATACAAATATAGGAAATTTTTTGGTACATTATTTTTTTCGATAATTTTTTACAAACAAATTTTGAAGTTTTTTCTACGGATTGATCTCTATTTCTGTCGGTTTTTTTTGTGATGTATCGCAAGTTCTGTAGGTTATGTATGTGTTGCATCGCAAGCAGCGCGAAGCTTCACTTCGCCTCTGTTTTTTAAAATCTCTTAAGTTGATGGTGTTTCAGTTCCAAGATTTCGTTTTTTTTTGGTTAATTTCATGTTTCGATTTGTCGGCTCATCTGCTAGTAGTGATAGTCATTCAGTTTTGTATCGCAAGTGGTACGAAGCTCTGCTTCGCCTGTGTGTAAAAATTTGAGCTATAGACTAATTTTGAGCGATTAAGGCGATAATAACGTTTGGAAAATTGGTTAGGCTAAAGAAAATTGTTTTTTTTTTTTCAAAATGAAAACTAGTTTCGGAAGCTTCATTTAGCGCAGCCTTGGCAATAAAAATTGTCTGAAAAAAGAGAAAAGTCTGTCAGTTATACCTAATTTACTTGCTTTCTACACGTGTGTATAATTCTTTCATAACACCACGCACAAGAAACGACACTTTTTTGCACTTAGTAATTTGGAAAACTTTTTGTCACAAGCTTGTTGTGTTGTTTTTGTAAAGGATATTTAGATTGTGAAAAGTATAAGGTTCTAAGTCACAACAATTTCTCCAAAATTTATAAAGACGATTATTTTTTGTCGTCCCCTGAAATGTTTGCACCGGTTTTTATTTATTTAGTTTTCTAAAAAAATGGTTTTGATGAGTTTACAAGTAGGTTTTTTTCAAAAAATTTGTGCAATGCTTGGAAAGGGGTTTTTGATTTTCGGGTTTCGAAGAAAGAGCTTTTTGACTCTATTTCTTAATCGACACGAAGTTTCATCTTAGCTGTCTTCATTATCGTTTCTTCGTTTCTTTTTTCTTGATCAGCTCAAGTTGCGATCGATCATATTAAAGTAACACACTATATTCTATTGTCTGACAAAGAATTGAACTTTTTGAGTCAATTACTTTCTGCTGTGTCGAGTCTGAGCATAAAACAATAAAACTAGTTGAAGATTTTGACAGTTACTGTTTTTACTATACATGTATTTTCATTGTTTCTGTTGATTCACAGGTATGCGCATGGTATGAACGAACTACAGCCAACTCCGGAAAAAGCGCCGCCTGCTCCAATGGACCCAAGCGACCCCAAGTACAAAACAAAGCTTTGTATCAAATTCGAAAAAGAGAAAAAATGTCTGGCCGGAGACAACTGCAACTTCGCGCACGGCATCGAGGAACTACGCAACCGCAGTCCAGAAGATGAACAGAAGGTGTCTGATAGGTACAAAACCAGTGTCTGCCAGATATTTTTGGAAAAAGTGATCTGTCCAAGGGGACCTAACTGTACATACGCACACGGAAGATACGAGTTGAGACCCATCGGGTTCAAAGGTATGCTAATCCGTCACTAATTTTTAATTTTTGTTTTGTTATACCAAAAAAATCGTCGTGAAGTTTTAGTAGTCATTGGTTGTTAGTTATCTGAAGAGTGCTCAACAAGCCAATACGATACTTTTAGGCGACTTTGAGGCAAAAGTGTCTGAGAACCCTCGGTGGAAGTGCAATCTCTGTAAAGCTTGGAGCGAGACAAACAGATGCAAGAACGGCGATGATTGCAGTTATGCGCATGGTGAGAAGGAGCTGCGAAGTGAAAAGCCGGGGCCTCCGGAAGTGAGGAGGTTCAAAACTGAACTGTGCAAAAAACTGTTCACACAAGGCTTCTGTCCTCAGGGATCCATTTGCACGTTTGCGCATTGTGAAAATGATCTGCAACAGAATCGAAATTCGTCACTGTCCTCAAGTTCGAAAACATCTCCGGTGACGATGATGGGATCCATGCAGCCAAATGTGGGTTACTCGCCTGGAAATATGTTTGGAAATGAACAGAGCAATTCAATGATGTCTGGCGGATATAAACTGTCTAGTGGCGTCGTCGGCTCTGGAATGATGGATAGGCCGGGTCAAATGGGACTGCATAGCAGTGCTGCTGCAGCAGCCGCAATGCACTCCCCGACAATGATGGCCAACAAAGGTGCAATGATGGGTAGATCTGGACCAAATAAAGACGTGGAAATGTTCAGTGATTTTCTGGAGTTCATGAAATTGAAAGAGACGGGAGTTCTGGACATGATTAAGCATGCCACTGGACCGTCCGGTATGATGCCCAGACAGCAACATGGAGCCTCAAATCCCGCGATTCCGACAGCAATGTCAGCTGGAGGAACCATGGGGTATTCTGGGAACATGGGGGCAAACAGTCCCTTTATGAATGCCCAATTCTCCAATGCAGGGGGTTTGGGCGGACCTGGACCCATGGATCCGATGGGGGCCTCAAGCGTGATGCCGATGGGCATGAATGGTCAATCGGGAATGGGTGGCTCAACGGATGGAAGGTTGATGGGCTCGGGGATGGCCAATAACGGACTGGTTGATTACTCTCCCATGAATCCTCAAATGCGTAAGAGAAAATACGAACATGCACTGTATTAGTTCATCCTAGTTAAATCACATAACAATTTGATTGGCACTGGTACCTTGAGGCTGAGAGTGATTGTGGTACTTGTGATCTTGAGCTGTATTTGTATATCTCTTTTGTTATCAATATACAGCCTAGTCCTATTTTTCCTTTTACTTCAATCACATTGGATTTTGTGTCAGAATTGATGAAATTTGTAGCTCATGGCATCGATGCGGTCTGAATGTTTTTTTCTGATATTCCACAAGATTTCTTTTTTCATATTTCCTTCAAATTCAAGTATAATTTTCTTTTGTTTGATCTTATATCAAAATTATGCTTATATCATCCAAGGAGAGTTATAAGTAGTTTAAATGAATGAAAAAAATCTATTACAAAACTTGTCAGTAATCGATAAACCATCTTAAAGTTTTTATTGGAGTTATAGGAGCAAAAAATTTTGTTATCTTTTATTATATATATTTTCTTAGGGTAGCACATATTGCAATAGGTTTAGTGTAAATCGCATCGATACTTCTTCCGTTTTGTTAGTGATCTCCAATTTGGGAAATTGATATTCAGATATATTAAAGAGTTATTTTCTCAAAGAGCATGTTTTTGATAGTCATCGCAACTATCAGTTGCATTTGGAGTATTTCTATTTAAGCATGGTCTCCTTTTTCTATCTATCTTGATTATCGTCATCATTCATAATGCAGCTGGTATGTTGTCTCATTTGCCCTTTTAATAGCTTGCTTCTGTTTATTTCACTTACCTGTTGTTAATTAAATACATGTAAAAATTTTGATTAGAATCATAATTTTGACTGAAAATGTTATAAATAAATTGAAAATAAATAGTCCTACTTCGAATTCAATTTAAAAATAATCTTTCTCCTTTTCCTCTCTGTTTTTTTATTATCTTCAATACGTTATTTCTAAATTATAATCATCAGGTTATTTTCTGTTTTGTTTCTCATACTTTTTACCCTTGCGATAAACAAGGGTATTGCAATCAGGTACTAGACTTTTTCCAGTACCTAACTTTATTCAAAGGACTTATCTAGACTTCTCGACTCATATGTAGCCATACTTTATTTCCTAGCGTTTTTACACTAGCGAATTTAAGTGAGCGTTAGTGTTGTACTACGACTATTTTTTTTCAAATCTAAGTCGCAAATATTAGTGCCACTTTTTATCGCACCTTTACGGGTTATTGAAAGCATCTGCTTTGAATTTCGCATAGCAGTAATTAACACAGTTGATGCATTTTGAAGCCATCAAATTGACCGAAAAAAGCTATTTGTTTCAAACAACAACAATAATAAAAACTTGATTTCAAAAATTTTAGCTCAGTATATCTCGCACTTTTTTGAAATGCATAATTTATACATAATGTGGCTTTATGCTTTCAATTTTTTACATGCATTAGAGTGGATACCTTCAGTTTTATTCGAAACTATTACTTGTAAAATTCTGTTTTTGTGCTTGGTGCCACTTTTGCTGCATTGCATTGGCAATTTGTTAGCTTATGTAGCTGTTTTATTTATGACTAGTTGTTGTCGGTTGTTAAGCGTCCGTGGTCGAGAGGACAGGGTGAGGCTCCAATTCTCAAGGTCGCACGTTTGAAGACCATACGTAGCCAAGTGTTACAAATTCGATATTTATTTCTATCTTTTTTATTTCACTTTATGAAGCTGCTTTTTTGTGTTCTTGCTAGTGTTTGCGAAGTGGAGCTTTGCCTGTTTGTCTAATCTCTTAACGTTCCCGGCGCGAATAGCCTGGAGTTAACGAATACGCCTGGGACGGCAATAATCTTGGGTTCGAATCTGATCAGGACCAGTTTTTTTTTGAACGGGAAATATTCCGTTTCAAAAAAATCGTTGGCTGATTATTTGTCTGCTTATGTTTTGTCGGCCTAATGTTGCTATTAATGTTTCATTTTTTCCCACAATTTGTACTTTTACTTACCTTGACTTCATATTGCCTTTTTGTTTCGCTTGAAAATTTTCTTGGTCCCAAATTATTTCAGCCTATTTTTATCGGCTTAGTTACCTTTTGTGGCTCGTTTCCAGGGAAACACAATTTTTATGTCCCCCTCCAATTTTAATTGAGTTGGATCTTCATTTGATGATTTTTTTTTTGGCTAAATATGTTTTGGTTTGTTTTATATCGGCTTAGTGGTCTCTTTTAGTCATTTGATGCGCGAAAAGTTTTTTTGAGCCTGTTTGTGTTATGAGGGTAAGCTTTACATGAAGTCGCTTTCCCAAAATTTGTACTTTTACTTACCTTGACTTCATATTGCCTTTTTGTTTCGCTTGAAAATTTTCTTGGTCCCAAATTATTTCAGCCTATTTTTATCGGCTTAGTTACCTATTGTGGCTCGTTTCAATGGAAACACAATTTTTATGTCCCCCTCCAATTTTAATTGAGTTGGATCTTCATTTGATGAATTTTTTTGGCTAAATATGTTTTGGTTTGTTTTATATCGGCTTAGTGGTCTCTTTTAGTCATTTGATGCGCGAAAAGTTTTTTTGTGCCTGTTTGTGTTATGAGGGTAAGGTGTACATGAAATTTTTTAAATAATTTCGAATTGAGAACAAAGTTTCGGCTTGAAGAGTTTCTGCTCAGGTAGTTTTAAGAGTAATGAACGCAGTGAAGACTTTTATATAGGTCTTGATTGATGATTTTTTTTTGTGTTTCTGTTTCAGGAAAAAATCTTAAAAAGCTCTAATAACTGCAGATGTGTGTTCATGCATATTGATGATTTTATGAATGCAATTATGTATGTATGCACTTTTTGAGTTCAATTTTAATAAACCTGCTGCAAATTACGTAAATAGCACTCTCCAAACACGAACTTGGAAATGGCGTAAAAAACGTGAATAATTTCTAGTTTCGAAAATGGAATTTAGTTTTTAGATTTCCAGTGGAATAACTTTACCTAATGACCCAGTTTTCTTAAGGTGGGTTAATGTTATCAAAAAAGCGCCAATGATAAATTGTTTTAGAAATTCAAAGAGCTCAAAGGGCATCTATTTGTTTCTTCGAAATTCGAAAGTTGAGGTTTTTCAACTAGGTCAGTGTTTTTTTTCTGTTTACTTGCGTTCATTACTTTTTCTAAGTGTCATTTGGCTATGTTCGGCTTTGTCAGCCCCTGGTTATTTGTGTCCCATTCTGATTTTGCCTTCTTTTGTTTGGGCATGTTTTATATAATTATCTTCATTCATTTGATAGATCTTGTTGTATCGCAAGTGGTGCGAAGCTCAGCTTCCACTCTGTATCAAATTATTACCCTTAAGACTGATAATTTTTTTCCACCTGCTGGATTTTTTTCGTGAAACTTAACTCACAGATTTATCAAAATCAGAAATTAATATTTCAAATGTCTTTAATACTTTAGTCTTTTTTTTATATTGCTTGGCTGGCCTTAAACTTCTAGACGCATCTGGCTTGTACTGCGCAGAATTTGCGTCAGAATCTCTGTTTTACCGTAATTTACCTTTGTAGGCTTTTTAATATTTCTTTTAGTGCACTTTTTAAATACCGTTTAAAGGTCAATTTCAGCGAGCTTTTTTATTGTTTCACCTTTTCTTGGGTTTTATTATCTCTTCAATCTAATTAAATTTCTGTAGATAATTTACTTTGCTCAAATTTTAAACGCCGAAAGCGAATTAAGTATCGTTGAAAACTGAAATTTGATCTCTTTATGTTGTGGTTGTGTTTTTTTTGGGAAATTGACGCCTATCATAATTTTGCAATAGCAAACATTCGTTATAATTAGATTTTACTTTTTCCATTTATTTCGCATTTTTGTTCCGACCATTGAAAATGGGGAGGAACTTTGGATTAAGTTTTTTTTGTTTCTCTACGAAATCAGGGACCACAAGTAATCTATGGATTGGGTTGAGTGATATACCAAATTAAAGCCCTCTCAGTCGTGATTCAAAAATCAAATTTTTCGAAAAGTTATCCCAGTCTCGAGAAAAGCTGGTTTAAGTTTTTGATTATAGTTCAATTTCGAGCGAGTAAAGCGATAGAGTAACGATCGTTATTACTCTTACGATAAGCAAGGGTATTGCAATCGGGTACTAGACTTTTTTCCCGTAAATAACTTTAGGCACGGGATCTTCACTTCTAGAGGATCTTCTATTCTAGAGGATGATCTAACATGCTCAATTTCTTGAAAATTCAAATAAAATTACTATCACTTCGCTTGTAATTCGTTCTAGCCCGTTTCGGGTTGTAATTATCTTTTCAACAAAAATGTCTCCATTTTTTGGGTTCGTGGTTTCGACCTAGTTTCGTTCGTTTCCTTTTCCGTTTTTTAAATGCTTTTATTTTTTATCTGGTAGGGTTTTTATTGGTTTACTTGTTAATTTTGAAGTTTTTTATGACAATAGTATTGTTTTCGGCCCAACAGGTTTCTCCTTGTTGTTGCCGCTCGATAAATGATTTCCATTCCAATTTTGAAATACTGTTTGTGAACTTCATCCGATACAAATATGAAGTTTTTGTAGCTGTAATTTTTCAACTTTTGTCAAGTAGTTTCTTTCCCAAATAATTTTTCAGAATTTTTTGCCTTTAGTCTTTTTTTCGTTCGTTGTTTTGTAGTGCAAGGTGTTTTTTTTGCATCACAAGTGTTGCGAAGCTCCGCTTTGCCTCTGTGCACTTTCATTTTGACTTTTATTTAGAAAATTTAAATGTACTATATCGAAACCTAGTTAGGATGTAAAATTTAGAGTGCAATAAAGGTTTTCTAAATTTTTTTTATGTCATTTTTTTTACAGACGAATGTTGTCGATTATAATTTATTAACTAAAATTCTGCGCGGTTGTATTGTTCTTAAATGACACTTTGCACTAAAACCGACACTAATTAGAAGAAAAGGGAAAAACAATTTTTAAGGAATGTTGTTGGAACATTCTGTGCTGCTTGCACAGCAACCGGCTATGCTTTTTTTTAACCAGTTATCTTTCAAGCGTAGTCTTTCAAAATGGTCAGTCCTCTTTTTCACCAAGCATAGACGCATACTTTATTGCAAAGCTTTGGGCGAAGTTAATTATACATAACCAAGCTCAAATTTGATTTTGTTCTAAATTAATTTATTTCCTTCGTAAAAGCACAAGAGCACAAAAGTGTAAGGGTCACGAAAAACCTAAATCTTTTCTGGTTTGGAAAGCTGATTTTAACTATTATATTTCGTAGTAGATTCTAGAAAGAGAGCAAAGTAGTAACAGTACAAATTTTTGTTCCCGGTTTTTGATTTATTGTTTCTGAATTTCAAATTTTCTGCAAATAGACCCATTATGAAAAATTTAGATTTTTTGGCAACATCGTTGCTGCCTTAACTCTTTTGTTCTTCCTTTTTCTTCAGCTCTTTTTTGTAACATTTCATCAAAATCAAAAAACTGCTCACAATTTTGATAGGTTGTTGGCTTGATGACATGCTTAAGGTGTTTGTGAAAGCGTAGATAAGGTCAAAAAATTGATTTTTTTGATTTTTAAGGCTTTAAAAGTTTTCCTATTTGTTTTGGCGATTAAAACTTACCGGAGAAATTAGTGAAAATAGTTCGATTATTAAATTTGGCAAACTTTGCTTTTCAATTCGCAAGTGGCAACAAAGTTTAATCTTTCGCGAGCGTCAATTTTCAGCACATGTTCAAGGCTCAAAGGAGTTCTTTAGACGATAAGCAAATTAGACGTGAACAACAAAAACGAATTTAGACGTTAAATTGTTTTCGCAAAACTAGCATTTTAGACGGAAAGCAAAGGGCTAACAAAACTTATTGCTTAAAACAAGTTTTCATAATTACAAAAATAATATATGATCCCACTGCATATCAAACTATTTATCTCAATTGATTTATAAAATGTTAATTTCAAGATTATAAAACATTTGAAATGCGTAAATTATACAATTGCGGCATGTTAAAAATGCGGAATGTGAAAATTGGGGCATATGAAAAATTGATTTGCGTTTAAGAAAGCTAACAACGAAAGTTAATTGTAGTCGGTAAACAGACACGAACAATACAATTACGTCTAATTTCCCATATTTGTAATTTTGCATCGACGTCTAAATTCGTTTTTGTTGGTCACGTCTAATTTGCTTTTCGTCTTATTTCCTAGGCCGCATAATTAAGGCTTACCATTTAACTTGGTCGGTGGCCACGCTAACATCTTCCCCCCAAGGGAGATCACTTGGTATATATTTATAGACTGGTGTATAAATGTCAATTTTTCGATGTCTTTCTGATAGTCGGGACTTTTATAGACCCAAATCATGATTGATCCAGAAGGTTCCCCTTAAATACTGTTTAATGGCATCCTTTTTTTTTCGTCGAAACTACTGAAAACTCGCCGAGTTTAATTAATAAGTTTGAGATATGAATGCGCTTGTTTGGCCATTGTTGGTTGTTTGGCCATTGTAGGCCAACGTTTACCATCGAATATGTGTTTCAAATCAAATAGTTCTTTTGTTTTCAGAAAATAGTGGCAAGCCTGCTTCTGTATAAGTAGACACCACATTTTAATTTCGATTAAAATTGCTAAACACTGCGTATAAAATACGCGATTCTGGTTGGCTGAAAATTCGAACTCCGAACCAAGTTAATGTCATTCCACTGAAACGCTTTTGGAAGAGGAATGATGTGAGATTAGACCAAATTTAACGGGGCGGATCTAGCATTTCCCCGAGGATTTTCAAAAAATTTCGTCGACCTTTTTTTAGGTCGACCAAGTTGATTTTCTGGAGCTCCCAAAATCAGTAAAAGACCCTGTTTTGGTCGGGGAGGGGGAAGGGGGGTTGGGGCAGGCAATCCGCAAGTAAAATCTTCGACTGAATTTTAATTTGAAACAATATTCTTGAAATAATATAAGAATGTATATTCATTGGAAACTCATGCTAAAGCATTTTTTGCTCTATTCTACTCTTGAATATGTTTTTTGGTATCAAAAGTAGTGCAAAGATATGCTTCTCCTGTATATATAAAATTGAGTATTGTACAGTTGCTAAAGAGATGTTTCAGTGTGTGCCTATGTTACTCACTCGGTCTGCCCGTTATTGTTCCGACTTTCGATACGAAAGTAACGGAATATTTGTGCTCGGGATGAGTTTTTTTCTTCAGGAAAATTTCGACTTTTTAACTAGCCATTTTTAACGCAAATTTTTTGATATCATTCAAAAGGTATTGTTGTCCTGAGCTTAAATTTAAAAAGATATTTCACCTGTGATCATTTTTCGTAAAGTTATGAGGGTTTAAAGATTGCCGTTTTGGCCATTTTGAGCAATTTGGGACAATTAACGCGCGATATATTTCGAGCTATTAACGTGTAAGCGGAGATTTAATCCTTCTTATAAATCGTTCCAAATTGGTTGAAAGAAGCTTATTTGCCATAATTGATTTGTTACAAGGAGCGAAATCTATCGTTTTGTAATTTATATGGCGTGTGCGAGGATTATTTTCATAAAATATTTCAAATTTTACAAAAAAAAATTTTTCATTTCGCGTTTTTTTTTCATTTAATTTTTCAATGTTATTACTGCTCCATTACTGCTCCATAAACCTTAAAAGGCAGTCGGAACATTCAAAGCTTCGCCCTGATACGAGCAGTCTTGTTGTTTTGGTTCATCGATTTGCGTGAAAGATATTGCAAACGGGATTACTTGTTTTGCTATCTGGTGAGAACTGAGACGTGAACTAATTATGAAAATGTCTGACTGCTCTGTGTGCGACGCGCGCCCACCGCCAGGCCTTATTGCGTTTTTATCGTGGCTGAGTTGGTAATACGCGCGGCCTTCAACACTAAGGTTTTGGGTTAGAATCCCGCTTCGGTCGCGGTTGGAGGGGTCACAGTGTCATCCGCCTCCTCAAGGTGGGAGCGGCTGCGGCAAAATGGATGACATCTCTCTCCCCACGGAAAAAAGGCCCAAGGCTGATTGGCGGCAGGTGGGCCGGGGGCTAATAATAAAATAAAAAATTGCATTCTGTCAGTGTTGCGGTTTAATTTTTTGTTTAGTTTTATTCAAATTCATTTGCCAAAGTTGAGGCAAATTGCGTTCTCTATTTTAGAGTGTCTGTTTTTTATGAGGTAATCAACGTAGTTAATACGCTTCTATAGGTCGTGTTGATTTTTTTAAAGAAAATTATTTACGCTCAATTAGTTTTTTGCTGTTTGACTGTTGATGTGTTTCAAGTTCAGTTCTTTTCCTCCTTGTAAAGAATGCAAACTCCACTATTGAACAGCGAAATGGGAAAAGTTACGAAAAATGTGAATGACTTTTAGTTTCAAAAATGCATTTAATTTGCTGAAATTTCAGCGGTATGAGGTTTTCACCATTTATCCCGTTTTTCAAGTTTTTCAGTTTTATTGGTTTTCTGAGTTATTTCACAGTTTTCGAAGCATATGTTGACTGTTTATTAAATTGCTCGGCTTTATTTTATACTAATTGGTAAATTTTCTGTAGATACTAATTTTACATTCTATTGTCTGTCCATCTTTTTGTTCCAAAATTAGCCTTATTCATTTTGATTGATCTAATGTCACCGACACTTCCGATTTTGTTTCCGACTTAGCGGCCTTCTTCATGTGTGTGTATCGGAAGTGGTGCGAAGCTCAGCTTTGCGGGTGCCGGACATCAAGCCGACGGGACTTCAAGCCGAAACGTAAAATTAGGGACTTAAAGCCGAAAAGTTTCTCATTAAGTCATGAAATAAGATTAATTTGAAAACTTTTCTGAAGATTTTCTCATTTTCATGATCTTTAGTCGGTAATTATTAGCGTTTTCCTAAAATTTAAACCTCTAAATGATGTTTAGGAAAGTTAAACACGGTTGAAGGTAAATTTCTTGTTTATAATTTATGCATTTCAAACACCGGCTTATATTATTAAGGGATGCCAATCCTAAGTGATTCATCGTCATAAATAACGCTTATTATGGACTAAACTAGCGTAAGATTTTGAAAAGCAACGTTTGACAGATGAAAAAATATTGATTTGAGGTTAGGGTTGTGCAGTTACTAGTAAGTAAAATTCGTTTACTAGTAAGTTACTAGTAAGTTACCACTTTTTTTACTAGTAAGTTACTTTTACTTACTAGTAAGTTTCAAAAACTCAGAATCTGCTTGAAACTACCAAGTTTGAAGACTATTTATTTTACACAAACACAAAATCCGCTTAATAATCATTATGATAAATATTATTAAGTGAAGCAGCGTTGCAGTATATGAAAACAAGTTTTTCTTCTCTTTCGACTGATAATTGAGCCTCATTTTTTTGAAAAATTTCATTTTGGTTCAACTTACTAGTAATAAGCCTTATTTTGCTTACTAGTAAGTTACTAGTACATTTACTAGTAACTTACTTACTAGTAAGTAAGTCCGCACACCCCTATTTGAGGTGCTTGTAAAGTTTAATTTTCGGCTGGAAGTCACCTCGGCTTGTTGTCCTAGACCCCAGCTTTGCCTCTTGTGAACCAACAGGTAGAAAATTGCCATGTGTTCGCCTACTCATCTTTTCTTTTGTTTCAGTGGAAGAACAATTTGAAGCCCTTTTTCAAATGAACGACAGCTGAGCTTGGCGACCAGTGAGTACATATTGTGTTGATATGTTTGTCATAGTAAAATTCATTAAATAGAATATGAATGTGTGAAATCTATTATTTAATCAAGAGCTCTACTTAAAAATCTCGCATATTTCAAGAAACGGGGGTGGGCGATTGTTAAGTAGATCCTAATCAAGTTTCATATTTTATTTAGATCCAATGCAATTCTCCTCGCCGATCATGGTGCTTCGGTTTAACAGCAAAAACATGGAAGAAGCATCATCTGTTTTCTGGCGTGAACTAGTCCAAGTTCGGCGTGAACTAGTCGAAGTTATTCGAAGTTCGGCTGGCATTTTTGCATTTGAATCAATATTGATATGTTTTGGCGCAGGTTGTTTTGTTTCTTTTTAAATGTTTGCCCTCAAATATACTCGCTTAAATTTGCTTCGAAGATGACAAGTTGGTCTGTGAATTGTGGTTCAAGTTCATAAATAAATCCTCCTCAAATGCTATAAAAACAACAATTTGGTTGATGTGCTACTACTGACTTTTAGTTTAGATTTGTCGGCTCAGTGAGCTGTTGTCAAATTTATTTCTTTTCTTTCTTTCTTGCTTTCTTCTAGATACCAAATCGGTATTAGTTCTAGAATTCTTTTTATTCCAAATCCAATTTTATTGCAATTAATTCAAATTCAATTATAATATTCAAATTGCCACCGAGCTCGTAGATTAACGAATGACTAGTGCTTATATTTTGGTTTATATCATGACTGTTTCGAAATTGCTCTATTTCTGTACTCTTGAAATCAAGATAAAACTATAAAATTTATATCGTTTTGTGTGTTCGGCCTTTTCGTTTGGATTTGTTCAAATGTTTTCCTCATTGTAGATGTTATCTTCTATCATCTTTGTACTTGATTTGAAAAAGTTAACATACGGTTTTTTTAGTTTTATTTATTAAATTCAATTAAAGCTAATACTTTTGATCATTGTTCTCCGGTGCATATTTTAAACATTTCAAGAGAAAGTTTTGTACGAAAATGCAGAGGCGATGAGTTTCGTTTTTCGGTGAAGAAGATTAATAGGTGACAGTTTTCTCTTGATAGAATTTCGATCTGTTTAGTTTATTTCAATCATACGTTACCATGTTGCTTTGACTAGCTTGGTTATCGGTGGTTATACAGTCAATTTAAAATAAAAGTTCAAAAATCTGTAAGTTTTGAAAATAGTGAGCTTTAAGTAGGCCGATTTCCAACCTAGTAAGAAATGCAGTTTCTATTTCGGTGTGCTAAAAGTGCTTTAACTTGAACGGTCTTTGGATAATGTAATTAGAGGTAATATCAGTATCATCGTGATTATCACCTTCACCTACCTTGTTATGTCGCTGCTGTATTTGTTGTATAATTGTCTGGTTTTTATGTGCATCAACTAGCATTCGAACAGATTTTCCATCCATAATAGCTCCTTACCTTTTACATGTTCGCTTATATAAATAAGATATCTATCTATCTGCATTATTATTGTATCGCTTACTTACCTCTAATCTACAGCTCCTTTCAAATTGCCCACTTTCGGTTCTTAGCGTGCTCTAATTTATGTTCAAATTATGATTAGACTTGAGCCTTTGTTTCAAAAAAAAAAACTGTTCAACAGCTGAGAGAAAAAAATGTCGAGATCAAATAAGTATCCAAGAATTGGATCAATTTGCATTTCGCTTGTTTTCGATTTGATTCTCACTTGTATGAATGAGACGGCTGATCGTTGTTCAAAAGTCCTCAGAAAAAACGAATATAAAAACCAAACAAATTATAAGCTATTTTGATTCTATCGAATTGAAACATTAATTTTTTGACTTTTGAATGATCAGCTGATTTTTTTTGACTAATCAGACACTAAGTTTCGTTTTTTTTTCATTTCAAATTGCTAGATGGCAGTTTCAGATAATAAAAACTTTTCTAATTGTTTGTTTTCAGTGCTAACATTTCCTTCAAGTGCTTAAGGCGCATTTTCACTCAATCTGTCGCAGTAGTTTTTCAAACCTTTATTCTAGTTCTTTATCTTAAACTGAATCGCAGGTAGATTTTTCTTCTAACTACTCATGGGTTTTTAGTTTGTTATTTTTCGGCTTTTTGATCTACAGATACTAAAGTTGACCTGGTTTGCCCGTTTTAGTTTCTTTCCCGTTGGTCTATCTAGGTTTCATGGATTTATTTGTCGCCATAGTTATTAAGTGTTAATGAACGAAGCGAATTTTCACATATTTTGTTTGTGTGGTTGTCGAGAAATATTCTTAATTACGCTCAAATTTATATTTGGTGGTTTGATTTTTGATGTTCTTTCAATTTCATTTCGCAAATAAAAGGGAAATAATGCTCTCCAATAACAAAAGTTCAAATTAAGGTTTATCAAAAAAGTTTCAATCCTGAAATTGCCTTGAAAATCGAAGAGCTCTATGGTGATATAATTTTCTCTTCGAATTTCGAAAGTGATTTTTTTCCAGTTAAAGAGTCAGCCATTTTATTGAATTCGTGAGTTCATTGACACTTTTCCAACTGCCTGTTGGCCATGATTAGATATTCTATAACTGTTTGTCTGTTTGATTATATTAGCTAAAGGTGCTAACTTAGCAATGGTGCTTCTATTGCGAATATATATATACTTCATTATGGTAAATTAATTAACTTGTTCAGCTCAATTCAATTCAAGCCCAACTGTATTACCTATCATAGTTGTGATATAATGTCGAAATTATGTAAAATAAATAATTATAACTTTGCTTTGTTGTTCTGCTAGATTGAACTGCAATTACTGAATAGATTGATTTAAAAATTACTTTACCTCTAAAATGTATCTTTCTTTATGTAAGCAATTCATTTGAACTCGTTTATTTTGCATTTACCACCCTTCTCGTTAAAATATAATTCCTCTCGTCTTCTGAGAAATAATGAAAAGGCGCTATTTTAAAACGGCCTTGTAAGCTAGAAAATGAGAGGATGTGTTGCTTGCGGGATAGTTTGTCTTTTAACAATGATACAGTTAAATATAAATTTCAAATTTGCATTCACCTAATTCAATTTTCTTCAGCTATTTTTTAAAAGTCAGTTAAAATCAGATTTACACTTGCGAGAACATGTGTCTTTTAATGCGAACTAGACTTTTTTCATGGCAAACTACTTTTTTACGAATCTTACTTGCTTCTCTTTCTTGCTGTTCCAGGTTCGTTCCCTCGGGGCCCTGTGGAAATTGTTTTCCGGTAAAAATTGACTTTCGTTCATCTGCTCAAGTTTTGTCAGCTTAGTTGCCACATACTGATTTTTCTTGAGCTATAAATATAAGCAAGTGTTGTTCATTGTAGTTTCAGGGAGATTTGAAAGTCTTTTTTTTACGAAATGAAAATTGTTTGCTCAAAAGTTGTCGGCTTCGTTCGTAATTTTTGTTCCTTTGCTAATTACTCTTTCGATAAGCAAGGTCATTGCAATCGGGTACTTGACTTTTTGTCGCTAATAACTTTGTTCACAGAATGGTCAAAATTCGAAATGACAAATTAAGGTACAGTTCTAAATGAATTCAAATTACTTTGCGTCTCCGGTACACTTGCTCTGGAGCTAACGCAAATGCGCCTGGGACGGCAAAGGTCTTGGGTTCGAACCTAAAAGGACCTGTTTTTTTTTCAAACGGGAAACAGTCCGTTTCAAAAAAAAAGTTGTCGGCTTATTATTTTCAGAATTTTTTTTTTAAATTTTTTTACATTATAGTTGTTTTCAGCATTCTGATTACCCCTTCTGGTTGTAATTTTACTAACCTTGACTTTGTATATTTCAGTTTTTTTTGTCGCTTAAAAACTTTATTCGGCCCAAGTTATTTCACCCTATTTTTTATCATCTTAGTGACAAAATTTCGAGTTGTTGCTAAAGAAACATATTTTTATGCTCACCTCTAGATCGTACAAAATGCTGAAAGTTTTAATCGAAATTATTGTTCAAGTTTTTCATGACAATTTTGTTTGGCTTTTTTTCCGGCTTCATACGTTTTGACTTATATTATATACAAAAATGTTGCGACGAGCAAAAATGTTTGTGTGTGCGTGTCTGTGTTTTGAGGGTGAGGAGGACTTAATAACTTCTCGTTAGTCTTAAATTTTTTGAAATTTTTCGGCTTTTTTATTTTTCTTTTTTTTTGGGCTTTAATAGGTTTTGGCCTATTTTATATCGGCTTAGTGACCTCATATTGTTTCATTTGTTGAATAAAGTTTTTGAGTATTTGTGCGTTTTGAGGGTGAGTGATATATTAATTTTTCATTAGGCTTAAGTCTTGTTTTTTTTCGGCATAAAGGCTTTCCGACAAGGTATTTTCTAATGAAAATTTAGACGCTAAGGATTGAAGCTGCACTCCCAACAGACCTGTTGGCCGACAGACGTGTACTGAGAATGTGTACACTTTATTAATTGTTATATTCGAAGTTTGTCTAATACCTTGGTTGTACAATTTTCAACTCCGTATTCTTTATAATGTTCAATTTTAATCTTTGTTCAGTTTGGTAGATCAATTTTTCGAACTTTTTTCTGCGGCTTGCGCCTCATTTTCTGTCCGTCAGTTTGCCGTACTGTATTTTTTCGCAAGTGCTGCGAAGCTGTTTTTCGCTTCCTTGTTTAATTTTACGCTAAATGAACGGGGGAAAATTCTCCTATAAGGAAATTGAAATTGGCGGGAAAATGGACTCGACTACTAGTTTTAAAAAAAATGACTGGGAAACTTTAGCGGTGTGCATTGGTTTACTTATTAATCCAGTAAAAAGAATTTATTTTCAAATCCAGTCTTTGCACTTGCGATAGAAATTGTGTTGTTATCGGGTACCTAACTTTTCTCGTAAAATTTTGTTCACAGGATTCAGAGGCTAAGGACTGACACTGCACACCCAACAGACATTCGCTGAGCCGTTGTAATCGAAGTTTGTCCATAACCTTGGTTGTACATTTTTCCACTCGGATTTTTAAAATAATTTCCCATGATAATATTTGTTCATTCAAAGTTTGATTCGGCTTTAAAGTTTTCGGCTCATCTCAAATTGGTCAAGAAGCCTCTTGTTGCATCATTTGTTTTCCAAAAAGAGTTTGTTTTGATGAGGGAACCCTTGAAATTTCTAGATCTCTTTTTTTATGGGCAGGGTTTTTAGGACATTATTTTTTGGTGTTACGGTCGTCTAATCAAATATTATCGGCTTAGTTTGTCACCTAGCTGGCGATGCTATTTCTGTGATGTATCGCAATTACCGCGAGGCTCCGCTCCGCCTCTGTGTCTCAAATTGTTGGGAGAAAGCTGGATGTGTTTCGCTGTTTTTTTTTGCACTGGGCATGGTTCCATGTAAGAACCTTAATTCTAACTATTCAGAAAAGTTGTTTATCTTAAAATGAGATTTCAATAAAGAAAATTGAACTCAGTTGATAATGATTAGGCAATAACTCTGCATACTCTTGAGAATGAGAAAAATTTTGATACAACGAATGATTTTTTGAGCGAAAAAAATGGAGTATGTTAGATTAAAGAGCGTCAAATTCATCATTAGCAAAAGTTCTCAAACATGACTTCGATGATATCTCGATGAATCAAATTATAATTAAGGCAACTTGTTTGAATGTTTCCCCATTTAGCACCCCCTTCCCCTCAGCAAAATCTATAGACCCGCACCATAATCGTAAAATCACAGTGTGATGGCTATAATTTTTTGTTACTTGATTGGTAGTGCTATAATGGGAAAGACCCAATTGTTTTTCTGGTAATAAAGCGATCTCATTCGCATTTCAGATTTCATAGATGAGCAAGCGTTTCAGACACTGGTAAGAAGGACGATGATGAACCCTACAGATCACATTCTAACTCAGCTAGAGCTGACAAATAATCCTGGCGCCGTGCCCAATGTTTACACTAACTTCGGAGCCGTACCTACTCCCATATTCGTCCAGAGGCCATCCGGCTTTCCTCATCTTCCGCCAAACGGGATGCAAGACGTGGATCTGGCTAACTTGGGAAACTCTCTGAATGGGAGTCGTATGGCTCTGGCAATGGAGATGGCGAGACTGGACATGGAGCGAATGAAGTTTGTAGAGCCGCCGATTACTATTACGAAGGCGGGAAAGGTTCCACTGTATGACACTGTGAATTTACCAAATGAGGAGCAAGCAAGAGGTCGCCAAGCTGACAAGCCAACTATAGGGAAGGGAGGCAAAGGTTAGTTTATTCAGCATAAGTTATACTTTAGAAATTGACTTTGAGCTCAATATGAAAAAATGAGTTATTTTGTGCTGTTATTTTGATGAAATAATAACTCTAGGGGACAGGTGGTGAAATGTTGAAGTCTCCGCTTCAAATCGAGAGGGGCGGAGATTTGAGGCGTAATTTGATCTGTGCTCGTTGCTTGAGGCAACATTTCCCAGCCCAACAAAACCTATAATTTACATGTTATTAATAATAATAACATGTAATTCTTAACTAGGAGATCAACTGCTTTTATGCGTTAAGTAAGAGATGAACAGCTCGTATATTTGTCCTTTCTCTCGTCTTGACTTCATTATTTTTCAGTTTTTTGTTCCATTACGCTGCCTAATTTTATGTCTTTTTGTTGGTAGTTTTAATTATTGAGCATAAATTTTGTTCGAATTAGATGAAGGTTAAACCTAGCTTGCTCATGTTTTGATGATGGTGAACCGAACAGAATGATGATGAACCTGATGATGAAGTTTATTTAGAAGTCAATATTTTGTGATTGTTTGCATTTTTGTTCAGAGCACTCTTGTAAAATGGGAAAGAACTGTGGCGTTGGGTGTTTTTTCTTGACCAATTTTAGATAACTCACAGCAAATCCGCAGGCTTACTGTGTGGTGTCAATTTGAAGCCTGTGCATAAAATGATTTTACACTCGTGAGGGCGTAGGGTATTAGTACAAACCTTCTTTTTTTCCAAACTAACGCGCAAATAAAAGTGTTTATTTGGTGGTAATTTTGCTATAATCAAGATTTAAAACATTGGAAATTTCAAAGCATCTGTTCTCTGCTTTTTTGTGGCTGAGTGGTTAGTGCGTGAGCCGAATTTTCGTTAATTCGAGGCTTATTTCTACTTTTTGTTATTACACTTTTCACTTTTGTCGTTTTCTGGCTAGTGTTTGCGAATCGCAGCTTCGGCTTTACGTTGAACTTTTTCTCTCTCTAAGATTTTGCTTTTCAGACTCAAATTTTGTGAAAAGCGGATGAAGGTACCGACAAAATATTTGTTCATCTATTTACCATTACGTTAACTTTTCTTAGAAATCTTTTTTGAAAGCAAATTATGATCCTTTGATTTTGCTTCTTCTTTTTTTCCTTTTGCGAGGCAAGTGACTTAATCGGGAGCTTGATTTTTCTTCCCGTTAGTTTTTCTTACAAATCTAAGAAATTGATCCTGTAATGTTATGAATCTTCTGTAACTGCAAAATCCTTCTTATTGTTCCGACTTTCGATACTAAAGTAACGGAATATTTGTGCTCGGGGTGGGTTTTTTTTTCTTCAGACAAATTTCGACTTTATGACTAGCCATTTTTGACGGAATTTTTCTTATATCATTCGAAAGGTGAAACCCTTTCAATGTATTCGGGCTATGGTGCAAGTACCAGTCTTGTGCTCAATCATATATCTAATGACTTCACTTTTTGCCAGATTACTTTTTGCTTGAATTCAAAAAGGCGCTCTGGAACTAATTAGACTCAAAAATGCACTTATCAATAAGCGTTAGACAATTAGACTCGACAATTTTCCTTAAATTAATGGCGAGCGTCCAAAATAGGATTTTTTTATTTGTGTCGTTCCATGAAATTTGGTTTTCTTTCTACAGTTCACGAGCAAAATTGAGTAATACCTCAGTTCAAGGAAAGGTCGCTCCAAAGAACGAGTTGTTCAGCGCTTCACGGATAATTGCTTTTGTATTTTTTTTTACTATTTTTTGGGCTTGGTTAATGTTGCCTTAACCTCAAGCAACAAGTAATGATCATAGCGGGACTCGAACCACTGCAAAACCTCAAAATGAAAATATTATTGTCGCATGGAGGCGTTTGAGTAATGAAATTTGTCAGAATAGTTCCATTGGTTCAATCCGCTTTAGATTTAGTATTTTTTTGTTTTAAAAAAATTGCTTCGGCAAACAAACGTTGATTTCTTTTTTGTTTAGTTTTTGATTATATGGGAAACATGCTTAATTCAGACGAAATTCTTGAAGAATAATTAAAGATTTTTGTTCCAGGAAAAAAATGATCAGTATAATTTGGCAGTTATGTTTACATAGCCTTTGACTTTCGTAATTTCTTGAACTGTTTTGGTTACGCATGAAACTGGTTGTATTGAAGGTTGCATAAAAACCAGGTTAAAAAAACTGGCTAGTTGCTGCGACTTAGAACTTTGGATGATTTGGGTTTCTCGATCGCGAGATTTAGTTCGAATTTGTTGGTCGATATAGAATAATAGGGGCACTTAGCATAGTGGTAAGGCGTTCACTTTAGAATCGTCAGATCGTGTAATCGATCCCATGCCATGGCAATGATAGTGTGTGAGGACGAGCTCTCACTTAACCTCTAGCTTCAGGTCTACCACAACCTGACTAAATTTGGCTGCAAAAGTGGTACCACGTGAAAGTTCTAGACGCACAAAAACGGCTTTGAGTCGAAAAAAAGAGCTTCGCTCAACAAAATAACACAGTCTGGAATGTGGGGAAATAATACAAACGGACTATCCTCGACAGGACTGTTAAGTCCTACTGATAGCTCCTCTGCGATTCGCAGGAACTACAATTATTATAATTATTATAATTTGTTCATATTTTACATAGGTCGCAAGGATTTTTTTTCTTTTCAGGAAATTTCTTAAAATCTTGCTATCGAACTGCAAAATTGTAAAGGTCACGAAAAACGTGTGATCGACTTCTAGTTTCGAAAGTGGAATTTAATTTTAAGAGTTCCCAGCAAATAAAATTTCTACTTATCGATCCAGTTTTCTCAAAATATGTTAATTTTATCAAAAAAAGCTAATCATAAATTGCTTTAGAAATTCAAAGAGCTTTGAGGGTATTTATTTTTTCTCTGAATTTCGAAAGTTGAGATTTTTTGTTTGCTTGCATTCATTGATTCTTTCCAACTGTCTGTTGGCTATGTTTATCCGTAAATGGGTTCGATTTCTCAGAATTCTGCGATTTTGAACAGGCTTCAAGCATTTTTTATAATTATGGTTTGAATCCTGTTTTTTTTGCTGTATCGGACGTGGTGCGAAGCTCTGCTTCGCCTCTGCATTTAGTTTCTTTTGCAATGATAAATATAGTTAGAAAATTTTGAGTCACTCAGCAACCGGCTACCCTTGTTTGTTTTAGAAGGTTTTTGAGTTTGTCACCTTGTAAATTTTTGTTAATTTCTTACGTCCTGTTTACTTTTGTCTTGACTTGTTTGGTGTTTTATAGGTAAAAAAGTCACATATGCGAAACCTGCTGCAAATAACAAGTTTAAACAAGCTTCGTCGGGTGAAGTGCATGGAAGTGGTGTATCCTCCGCATCGCAGCACCAGACCATGGCTAAGGCACTTGAGGAGATTGGGAAATCGAGATGTGAGTTAGTCGAGTGCATTCGCTGGATGGCACAGAAGGCGTCCCAGACTACTGTTGCATTCACCAGGGAGGCGGACGAAGAGCGCAAAATGGAAACTAGAATTAATCAGCAGAGTAAGCATTGATTTAGTGATCATTAAAGATAATTGAGCCTGAATTCATGATCCAAACAATTCGCGGTCCAAATTTCAAAGCTACGCGAAAAAATGAAAAATGCTAAAACTAAGTTTAAAAAGAAATCGAACGTTTTTTTTTTGCGTTTTACTTTGCATCCGTTTATACAAGTTTTGCATCTAATTTTGGCTGCATCTATACAAACAATTAATCTACAGTCGATTGATCTACATTTTGATCAATAATTTGTCCATAAACATCTGAATATTATAACGACACTCGGTGTTTTAATTCAGCTATCCGGTGTGCACGCAACCTGTACTCACTGCAGCAGCAGATACGCCAGGTGCAGACAGACGTGAACAAGTTGACTGCAGATGGAAACATAGTAGTAGACGTCCAGTCTATTTCCCCCTCCGACTCCAAAATCGGACAAGTGACCGTTATGTTGAATAAACTACTCAGTGTGCACAAAAATGTAGCGAAAACGGCAAAAGATGTGGCTGCAGTAAGCAGAGAGGGTCACGGAGTCGAAAAGCAGTTTAGCCGAACTTACAGTGAATTGTCCCATCTGATACGACAAATATCATTAGTAAATGATCAAATTGGAATTGACAAGATAGATTGTCACGTAGAAATTCTCGACGGATTGTCTGTTGGAGAAATTGTGACGGAAAATAATTTAACGCGCAAGCAACCCGAAGCGTCCAAGAAGCTTGCGATTCAAATTCCCCCGCAAATTTCAGGAAAATTGAGAGTGGTTAATTCTCCCCCAATGAGTCCCGATAGAGATCAAACATTAAGAGCTGGAATCATTGCTCTGGGAATTGATAAAATTCTGGACCGGGACGAGAAATCGAAAAACACAGAACCCAAAATAGCTGAAGCCAACGTTGGCGTGTTTGGCAAAAAGAAGACCCCCGGAAATGTCAAGAATACAAAACGGAATGTAATTTATACGACTACTAGATCCCAAGTGCCTGCAAAATTGAATCCGAAAAATGTGAAGTCGAACATACTGCAATCGACAGTTGCGTCACAGTTGAAATCAGTTCATTCGGACATGTTAATTCGAAATCCGATCTCGGATTTTAATAGCACCAATAATTCGAAGACGAAAGCAAAGCCGAAGAGCTCATCGCCTGTGAATATGCGGCCGAACGAATCTCTAGATAGGTTGCGAGATAGTATCGATCAATCTACCATTCTGTCGAGCTCACGAAACCAATCTTTGTCGCCCGCTCGCGGCGGCGGCCGGCGCAACAGAAGTCAAAGTAAATCTCCAGTCGCTAAAAAGCGGCAATCTCCGATTCGTGATGACAAAATAAGTATGGTGACTCACGAACAAGCGGAAGAAGAGCTGAAGTCTTACGTGAAAGAGACCAATAAGTTGATTGCAGAGATGAAGAAAGAGAGACACACAACGCAAAGACTGTTTGACAGCAAAAAGGGATTAACACCCGAAGCTTACGAGGATATAAGAGATATCTGCAGTTTGAAGCTTCAAAAGTACGCGAGTGAAGACAAAGACGCGCGAGCTGTTATTTTGCAACTGAAGGGTATGAGTGATCCGACATTTAGGTACCTCGTGAAAGAGTGCTCGTTTGGTTTTAAGTCGTTCGATTACGAACAAATAGCCGACAGGATTCTGGACTTTCTCATAGAGCAGAGATTGGACCAAGTTGCTCTGTGGAAGATCAAAGACGAAAAGAGCACAGAAGTTTTTGAAAACATTGACCATAAGCGAGAAAGCAGAACAAAATTCGACAGGAAAACAGTTGAAAGTCTACAGGAAATGTTGAGGCGATTGGAAAAAATTGAGGACATGGAAAATGAGATTGCTCAAAGTTTGAACTCTGACGCATTCAGCTTGCGAGCTCTGGATTTGAAAGATTTCAGCTTTGATGCCAAAGATACATCGAAAAATCCGTTCAAATATGTTCATTTCCGAGACTATCCATCCGTAATAGATTCGCCTAAGTCACATCATCATAATATGTCATCATTTGGAGACTTGATAATTGTCAACAAAGGAAAAAGTTCCTTGAAGCCGTCTGCATTGCAAGAAATGAGTGGTAGTTACTATGATGACTCATCGATGGTCGGCAGGACTGAAATATCAGTTGATCAGAATCTGTTCACAGCTGTACAGACTGAAGTGGCTTCACATCAGAAACAAATTGCGGAAACTCTGAATGTAGACTTGAATAAAGTAAGTCCGAGTGGATTGATGGATCAAATAACGAACGAGATATTAGCTGACTGTCTAGAGGCTGTAATGAATGAGTTTTCAAGTGCGTGCGATGGATTTGCACAGGAAATTTACGCAGGAGAATTCAAGCCAAGCGAAGAGTAGAATACATGTGCATAAATTCAGACAGTCAATTAAATAAGGTCGATTAGAACTGTGATGTGGTTGTACATAGTGTGTAAATATGTTGAAAGTTTAATTCTTTTGAGTGTATTCAATGTTGAATTTCAGTTTCTGAGAGCTCTTTTTGAGTCAGTGTTATCGGCTCACAAATTATGATCAGTCTGAATCTTGCTGGTGGTATCGGTTTTTCATTGCATTACTGCAATGAGAACACTACGTAACAGTATTGTGATGTCAATTGCTGCTGGAAAGAGTTTTTTTTTCACAATTTAACAGCTTGCTAACATCATTAAATTACCATTGCGATCAGCATGAGTAGTGCAACCTGGTACTTAAGGTTTTCGTATTTGAAGCGTTATTGTCATTAGGAGTCTTCTTGTATCATGGGTCCATCTAATCCGTTCCTCATGGTATGTATCAATTTCATAAATAATGGTGTTTACTCACGTGATACTCTAGAATATTTTTGGACATGCGCAACTACTTGAAAGTTTTTCAGCGGATTCTTTTCGACTTGTTTTTATTTCCAAAATTATTATCTGAAACAAAACCTTGATTCTTTGGTCCACTTCATTTCCCTTGTTAAAAAGAAGGCAAACTTCACTATCGAACACTTAAAATGTAAAGGTCACAAAAACGTGATCGACTTCTAATTTCGAAAATGGAATTGAATTATTATCCTTGCGATTATTAAGGGTATTGGAATCGGGTACTAGGCTTTTTTCCCTGTAAATAATTTGTTCACAGGACTCATCTGGACTCATTTTCTGAAAGCCTCTTTTAGTTAAAATTTACCGCATTTGTTGCTGGCTAGCATTTAAAATATCTGTCCTATTCGAAGTGGGCTTTTCACATTGGTTGTAATGTTACCTACTCGTTTTGTTAAAATTTCGTTCTTTTGTTTTTTTCCGTTTTTTTAGCTCGATAGGTTTCGACCGATATTATATCGGCTAAGTGGCCTCTTATGGCGTCGTCTGACGAATAAAAAAAGTTTTTGTGTGTGTTTTGAGGGTCAGGGGGATTTAATAATTTTAATTAGTCTAAGACTTTTTTGAATGTTTCATTTTTTTTTGCGGCTTCATTGGTATCGCTTAATTTTTGGCTTGGTGCTTTCATTTTTTTAAATTTGACGAGCGAATAAAATTTTTTGCGTGTGTGTGTGTTTTGAGAATGAGTGGGGCTTAATAGCTTTTTAGTAGTTGGAAATTTTCTTTTTTTTTCGATTTTTTTTTGTTTAAAAGGCTTTGCGCTCTCTACATCGGTTTATTGGCCAAAAATTGTTTCAATTGACGAGTGAGCAACATTTCTTTTGGGTGACAATGTGTGTATTGAGGGTGAGGGGGATGTTATATTTTTTAGTTAGTCTCAATTTTTTTTGGCCTTATAGGTTCAGCGCCTTCTACATCGGCTTAGTGGCCTCATATTGTTCCACTTGACAGGCTAATATATATTTTTTGCGTGAGTGTGTGTGTTTCGAGGGTGAGGGGGACTTTTGGTTTTTTTTCCGTTTTTTTTGCCTTAATAGGTTAAGGTCATTTTATATCGGCTTACTGGCCTCAACTTCTTTCATTTGACGAGTGAATAAGTGTGTGAGTGTGTGTGTGTGTGTGCATGTATGTGTGTTTTTTTTTTGTTGAGGGCTAGGGGGCTTAATAATATGTGTAAATCTTCCGTCTTGTTGAATTTTTTTTCAGCTTAAATGGTTTCTGCTAAGGTCTGTTCGGCTTTGTTACCGTTTGACAAATTTTCTGCCGGAGCCAATTTCACCTTCTCTTGTCGTGGTATGTTTTTGTCTAAAACTAGCAATATTCATATTGATGGATCTAATTTTGATAGGTCTAATTTGACATTTACGATTTTTTTTGACTTAGCAGCTTTTGTGATCTGTATCGGGAGTGGAGCGAATCTCAGCTTCGCCTCTGTGACAGATTTTTTAGCCAAATAAAATTTTTTTCTATTGATTTAGTTTTCTCAAATATGCTTCTATTTATCAAAAAAGCACAAATCATAAATTGTTCGTGAAATTCAAAGAGCTTCAAGGGCATATATTTCTTCTTTAAAATTCGAAAGTAGAAGTATTTCTAAAAAAAGAAGTCAGTGTTTTCCTTGCCTTCATTTTTGTTTTTCAAGTGTTAGTTGGCTATGTTTCTTTTATTATTATGCTTGCAATTAGCATGCGTCATCAAATAGGAATGTAGACTTTTTTGTGGGTTAACTACTAGTTTAACAAAATCAGTTGAGTCACTTATGATGCTGCTGACATCCTCAATTGTACGAAAATTCATATCTAACAACTGGGCACTAGTTACTACTCATGATATATCTAGAAGTCAAACCATTATTTGTATAATTATAGAGATTTGATATCAATTTTCTACTGATTGTTCTTTTGCTTCATGATTGTCGACTTAAGCGCAGTCGGTTTAATTTTCAAATTATGTAATCTACTTTGCATACGCTACTTACATCGCTACCGTGTATCCTATTTTAGCGTTACATGAAATTTTTCCTTCATGTTTTTTGACGAAAATGTTCGGCTGAATTTCAGCTTATTTGATGTCGGCTTCAGTTTTTCGGCCTTTTTAAGCGCTTTTTTACCTTGAAATATCTGGTAGTACTTTTGAAATCAGTAAGCCGCTGGCATCAATTTTTTGAATGCCCAAGATCAACGCCACTAGGACTTGTTTGAAAACTTAATAAATTCAAACACGAAACAAATCCTTTTTCTGTTTTATATGTAATAGTTTTTCCACTTCATTTGTAACATACTTCGAAGTTCTGTTTGCTAATTTTTTTGCAGTTGGTTTCAATTGCAGTTGGTTTGCAGTTGGTTTCAATTGTTAGCTGTAGATCTGTAAATATTTAAGCTCATGTTTTGATAACTGAACGTACGATATATATGTTAGTTAACGTGTAATTGCACGAGCAAACGCTTGTGTTATTCTGCGAATCTTTTTTTCCTAACGCAGGTCGCATAAGTTAGTGCCACGTTTTAAAAGTGCCAAATTTAGTGTCTGCTAAGCTGGTATTCGGTAAATACCAGCCAATAATTAGTAGACTCCAAAGCTTTAGGTAGTCAATGGCTTAGTTTCAATTCCCATAAGAGGTAAATTTTTAGTTTTTCCATATATCAGTTCATTTATTTAATATCATGTTTACTATATAAAACACTTTTTGCCTAGATTTTTGCCTATATTCTACTTTTTGCCTATATTTTTGGAGATCACAACTTTCATTACAACAGCAAAGCTTGTGTGATAGTTTCTTTTTTTTTCCCAACCTAAGTCGCAAATGTTATTTTTCATTTTGAAAGTGTTCATTTTGATCAATAACCAGCTATTAACTGCAGCCAATGCTAAGGATATTAACATAGACTATTATATTACAAATAGCATTTAGCTTCAAGGTATGGATCTGTAGCGTAGAGGTAGGGAAGGAGACCCGCAACAAAATAAGGGGGTTCGAACCTGGGCAGGGTCGGAGGTTTTAATTGAACTTTTTGTATTCTAGTTAAAATGCGTCCGCTCTATAAATTGAGGCATGTTAGTTGGTTAGTTTTTTTTTAATTGATTGGTACTGCAAATGCGTCATAATTGGCTTGCGTCGCTTAGAAGTTATGTAGACGCATAATTTTCGTGCGTCATTTAAGAAATTTTGTAGACTCAAAGTTTTACTCATTCAATTTTTCCCAGTAGCGTTATCGGTCATGTTTTTGCCGGTGTATGCGAAGTGCAACCACTTAAGAAACTTTATAGAATCAAAGTTTTACTCATTCAATTTTTTGCAGTAGCGTTATCAGTCATATTTTTGCCGGTGTATGCGAAGTGTATGTTTTGTTGGTATACATAAGAGTCTTGCAGTGATTTAGTTTTGTTAGTAAAGGAACAAACAGTTTTGGAGTAGTTTTTGATTGACTAAAAAGCCATAAATGACAGTTCTGTGAAAATTTTAAACCAGATTGGTTTCCATCATTTTTTGTCTAAAATCAACCCAAATTAAGAAAACGCGTTTTAATTTTCAAGTTTCATTTCTTTTGTCAGGATAATTTAAATCAACACTCATAATTTCCAAAGAAAATATTACACCGCTAGACCAATCATTTTCAGTTCTTTTTGCATTTTCAGATTAATTAGTTGTCACTTCAGCTGTGAGATCCTTTTGGGACTGATTAGGCTAGGTAGTTGGAATGAGTGTGGAAGAGGAGGAGAATCTACAGTTCTTGCAGTGTGTGGGGGTGGTGTTGCGAGGGTGGACTGCCCTACAACTTGCCATCCAGCATGGTTTCGGAGGAGCTCATAGTGTAGAGAAGGGGGAATGGATGGCAGGTGCAATTGCAGACTGTTTCTTCAAAAACAAAGATCTCAAGTACTACGAGGCAAGTAAGCAAAAAAATTGATCTCACTTGAATAAAGTTACATTGTTTTCTGTGATTGTCAAACTTTTTGTGATTCAAGTATATTCCACGCTAATTTTTTTGGCGAAGTTGTGAGTGAATTGAATGTTCTTGAAAAAACTAAGAAATTGACTTTGGTTCATTGTGAAAGCTCAATTTAATTCTTAGCTCGCTAATTAAAGTCGCACTAAAGCTTCTGGTTGTGAGTCTCAAGGTCTTGGAATTCGTGTTTTTAAGCTAGCGAACAGCTAGTGTTTTAGTACGAGCCTTTTTTTCTTACAAATAAAAACTAGCAAATAAAAATGTTCATTAAAAGTGTTCACTTCTGTGCCTTTTGCTATAACCACGAACTGTAGCATTAGAAATTTTATAGCATGTTCTCGGTTTTTTTGTGGATAGTTTTTATGAAGGACTAAGCGTTCGTGGCTGTGTGGTTAGTGCGTGAGACGCATAATTTGTAGGTCGTACGTTCGAATCCGAGACGTCGACAAGTTTTTAACTAATTCGAGGCTTATTGTTACTTTTTCTTATTGCACTTTTTAGAACTCTAGAGCTGCTCTTTGTCGTTCTCGCTGGTGTTTGCGAAGCGCAGCTTCGCCTGTATATATATTTCGCTATATCTTTCAAAGGCCGATACCTGTTCTTATTGATATTCTGGGGTTTAACAAAGCTTGAAATTCTATAGAATCGTTCTAATTGATAGGGTGTGGTATCACAAGCCTGAAAAATTGATCATAACCTCGAGAACGATTTTCAATTTGAAATAGACAGATGTAATTCATCATAGTTTTGCTTTATTTCGATACTTAAAAGACTGTAGATCGATCATATTCTGTATTTTGTTTTTTGATTTGATTCGAACTACTTTGATTTTTTTTCGAACCTAGCTAATATTCTTTTGTTTCTCGGATTCATGTGTTTCTTGAAATAATTCAATGGTGTGCTTTCTTAGTGTATTGCAGGTAACTAAGTATTTTGTTACGAAATGAAAATTGATTATTGTTTTTGGCTTCATTACACTTGCGTAGCAAAGTGTATTAGTACGAGCTTCCTTTTTTCCAACCTAAGTCGCAAATATAAAGGCTACATATGGTGGCACTTTTGAATCGGTAGGCTGCGGTAGCAGTATAATATCGTATGTGGTTTGATTAGTGAAGAGTTAACTCAGCTGATGCATTTTAAGTCATCGAATGAACCAAGAAGAATTATTTGCTTCAAACAGCAGTACAGTGATAAAAAGCTCTTTTTCAGAAGTTTTACAACTCAAAGTATCTCGCATTTTTCTTTGAAATGCATAATTTACATAATTTGTTCTTATACTTCCCAATTTGTTACATGTGTCTTTTTGTATTTGGTTCTACTTTTGCTGCATCGAATTGACAATTTATTAGCATATGTAACTGAGTTATTGGTGGCTAGTTGATTTTAAGCATCCGTAGTTGAGTGGTTAGTGCGTGAGACTCAAAGTTGATAGGTTACAGTTTCGAATCCGACACGTAGCCGAGTTTTTGCTTATTCGAGGCTTATTTCTACTTTTTTTTATTTCACTTGATAGAGCTGCTTTTTGGTCTTTTTCGCGCAAGTTTTTGCAAAGCGCAGCTTCTCGTCTATGTAAATTTTTAATTGATGTTTTTTGAAATGTTTCGCAATGATTAATCAACCTCATCAATCTAATGATTGGTTGAACCTAGTGAAAACTCTTAAACAGTTCTTGGTGATTTTGTTTTTGCTTTTTAGGTACGCGTCTTAAAATGCTCTAATAACTACAGAAAAACATAATACCTATTAATGCATTTATGAAAGCTTTTAGGTATGGATTTACTTTTTGAGTTCAATTCAAGTTCGTTTGCAAAAAAAAAATAGGTTAATTGCGCTCTCCAATTGCGAAAGAGAAATGGCGCAGAAATCAAGATCGTTTTCTAGTTTCGAAAGTGGATTTTGACATCCAGTTTTCTCAAAGTGAGGTAATTTTATCAAAGAAGTGTTCTTGAAATTCAAAGGCCATTAAGCTTTTACTTGAAGTTCGAAAGTTGATTTTTTTTTCCAAAAAGAAATTCAGTTTTTTTCTATTTCCTTAGTTTAATTGACTCTTTTGCAAATGTCTGTTGGCTACGTTTTTAGTTCTCAGCGGAGTGAAGCAATTACTTTGATCCGATTTTTTCAAATTTGTTTAGTTTCTAGAGAAAAGTTTCAATGATACTAGATTCTGGAAATTCAAAGACCTCCAAAGTGTTTTATTTTTTGTTTTTACTTTTTTTAAAATCAATTCGTTTTTTTTTCAGTTTCGTTGTTGATAACGCGTTTCTGACTATATGTTGGATATGCTTACGGTTTTTACTTTGTTATTTTGTTTTCGCTCATTTGAAAACTAGTTGATAATTCGTTCCAAGTGTCAATCAATTGTCAGTACTAGGTAATATTACTTTTCGCCTAATTGTGTTTTGCCGCGGCTTTTTTTCGCGTCTGGTCGTCTGTGTTAAAAAGTCGCAACTACATACAGAGAAACAAAACTATTTTTCCTGTTTTTGCGCGCAGATCATCGAAATTTTGTTTGTTTCAGTTTCTTACAATATTATTTGATAATAGTTACTCAGTTCGTTGTTTTTTAATTTCTTTTTGTCAAATTGTGCTGGCTCAGATTGCCTTCAAATCAAGTTTCAAATCACTTGAAATTAGTTAGTTTGTTTTGTAACAGGAGCATAATTTTCTTCAATTGGTTGCCTTGTTGTTGCAATTTGCTCCTCAAATTTCTCACACTTTGTTTTATGGCAGATTGTTAACGGTTCTGGTGATAGCTTAATTTGTGTTTTGCGATCAGCTAATTTTTTGCATACATCTGTTGCTGTTTACAACATACCTACGACTAGCTAGAGGGGAGGATTGCTTATTAAATATTTTCCAATTTTGTCAAATTGTTGTCCCCTGCGGTATAAATTTCAATTCAAGCAAAAAAATTAGACGTAAAAAACAATCCGTTTTTTAAATTGAGTTATTTATATTTGCAATTTACGTACGAATAGTTAGAGGGGAGGATTGCTCATTAATTATTTTAAAAAATTGACCATACCTGAGGTCTGAATTTTGATTCGAGCGGAGTAAAACAAATGAAAAAAGCATTAGATTGGGAGTTAAAAAAATAGCATTAGACTGAAAAAAGCAATAGAAAAAAAGCTGAGTTAGAAAAGTATTAGATTGAGAATTTGTGTTTTAAATAATTCCTCGTGCGAAATATTTCTGAAAAATTGCATCCTTACTGCAATAAGTTTTTTTGGCAAAGTATTCAAGGCGGTAGTTGACAGTTGTTTTCTATTTCGAATGGTGATTCAATGAAAACTAGTTGTGGACTGTTTAAAATGGTTAAAAAATTGTCTACAGTCAGCCATTATATTCGGGCATAAAGATCTTGAAAATTTTTCTCGGCAGTCTAATGCTTCGGATATATATATATAGTCTTGTTTCAATTATTCGGGCTTGTTTGTGTGTTACCGAATGCCATAGTGAGAATACTGAAATGTAATTGGTCGATAATTGCCGGATCGTCTGATTTGCTTGTCTATTTTCTCAACCCTGGTTCTAGAAGCCAATTATTTGATATTTAATTATAATAGAAACTTTTGTATTTTATCATTTGTGTCCACTTGTTTTCAGTAGCTTACGCTTTTTTCGCTTAATTAATATAATTGTAATTGGACTAAGTAAAGGCGCGTATTTAGGTCGTATAGTTTTTTTCGGAAAAAGGCTCAAAATTTGTTTTTGTTAATTTCATCAAGTGAACAAATTACCCTCTAAATCAAGTTAGGGAGGAGATCGTTCACTTGATCAAAAGTAACATTTTTCAGCCAATCCGATTTCAGCATAGTACATGCAGGCCTTACTGCTTCAATTTACCAATTAACTTTAGTAAGGAGATTGTTCACTTGGTATATTTTGGGGGAGATTGTTCTCATGGGCGCCGGGGTTTAATTTTTCGAACAAATTTCAATCCTGTTGGAATAACACAGCTCTGCTGCGCTGACAAGTCATATGTATTTTCGCTACAGATTATGGCAAGAAATTTATTTAAATCTGGAGCATTCTCCAAATTGCGAATGCCCCCTAAAATGTCTGCAACTTTTTTTTTGCTTTCGAATGTTTCGAAAAAAATTACCCTATATCAAAAACTTGAGTGATATATTTTGCTTAAAATGATTCATTTTAAGGATCAATTGTTAATCGCTTTCTCCTAAATGATCTATGGTAGAATGGCCTCACCAAACATGTATTAATTCTGAAAGTTAATTCTTTATAAAATATTCATTTCATACAAACGCACAAAATATAGTTACTTAGAATTTTTTCAATTTGTATTTTTATGGTCTATCAACTTAGTCGAATCGAAATTTCAATTATGTGTCGATGTTTTAATTAAGATAGCGCTTAGATTATAATAAGGTTATTTTAATGAAATTAAAATGATAAAATTATTATTCCGACTTTCGACGTAAAAACCAAATATTTATGCCTGGGCTGGTTCTCATTATTCAGTCAATTTTCAATTTTTAAACTAAGGGTCTTCGTCGGAAATTTTTTTATCATCTGAAAGATATTTTTGTGCGAAGCTCAAACAGTAAAAACAATTTTCACTTGTGATCAGTTATGTTAAAGGGGTTTGAAAATAGCTAATCTGGGATAATTAACGCGCGATATATTGCGTTCTCATAGCACGCTTAAGCGGCGGTTTAATGCGTTTCAAATTGAATTAAGGCAGGTGTTTTGGTCTCACTTTAAGGATTCGATACACTAATTTCATTCTTTGAATATTAACTTTAGCCTGTGGAAGATGGATAAATCGAAGAACAAAATGAAAAAAAAATGTTTTGAGATTATTTTGTCAATTTTTCAACCAAAAAGAATTATAATTGGGCTTAATGTACAGTCAGACTATTCGGAGCATTCGGAACCTTACTGTTTTTGATATACCAACAGTCTTGTCCTTCCGACTCTAGAAGAGAACGGAATATTTATGCTTGGGGTGATTTTGTCTTAATTCAGTCAATTTTTGCTGATCGAAATAAGTTTGAACAAATTTTTTTAAATATCCGTTTGAAGAAATCGACTCTCTGAAATCAAATGTAAAAAGATTTTCTAGCTCTGATTAAGAGTAATGAACTAGTGAAGACTCTTATATGTCTTGCTGATTTTTTAAAATTTTTTTTTTCAGGAAAAAGTCTGAACATGCTCTAATAACTACAGACGTGTATTCATACATATTGATGCATTTATGAATGCACTTAGGTATATATGCACTTTTTGAGTGCAATCGAAATTCTTTTGCTGAGAAAAGTGTGTTTTTGCTCTTTCACACATGTTCTTTCACGACAAGGCATGAATGAAAAATGAAATATTAGAACGCATGAATGAAAGAAGAAGTCATTTGCATAGTTTCGCGCCCTTTTCCGGGCCCTTTCTAAATTTTTCGGGCTTCTTGACAATTTTCTGGCATCTTTCACTCAGAAAGCAAAAACATACTCTTCAACAGTTAGAGCAAAGTTGAAGATGGCCTCGGGCAAAAGAGCCGCACTCGGGCACTTCGGCCCTCAGGCCAGGCTCTTTCCCTCGGGCATCTTTCAACTATGTTCTAACTTCTACAAAGTGACGTAAATAGCATTCTCCAAAAACGAACGTGGAAATGTCGCGAAAAAACGTGAACGATTTCTAGTTTCAATAGTGGAATTTAATTTAAGATTTCCAGCGGAATAAAAACTTTACCTGTTGATCCAGTGTTCTCAAGTTGGGTTAATGTTATCAAAAAAGTGCCAATCATAAATCGTTTTAAAACTTCAAAGAGCTTAAAGGGCATCTATTTTTTTTGAAATTCGAAAGATTTTTTCAACTAAGTGTTTTTTTTTTGTTTTTGCGTTCATTACTATTTTCCAACTGCCAGTTGTCTATGTTCGGCTTTTTCACCGCCTGATTATTTTTTGCGAAGTTCTGAGCGTTTGAAAATTGCCAATTTGCCCATGCTCAAGACTAATTTATGGGCGCTTTGAAGATATTATTCATAATATTGAAAGCGTAACGCGAATTATTTATGCGTGGTGAATTATTCCGCACAACAAAATCCAAATTAAATTATGGAGGCTAGTTAATCGGTAATATGAATTTCCTCCAACTCAAATTTTTTTTTACTTGATCTTTGATTTTGTCCAAAATTTATAGTTTCTCATTATCTTTTCCCAAAAACTATTCGATACATTGAAAGTATTCGGAATTTCCCTGGCTTTGCCCTGATATACGAGCAGTCTTGTTTCATTTATTCAGGATGGTTCGGAGAAAAATGTGGGCTATTACCCTATGTATGTTACCGAATGTCATTGTGAGAACTGAAATATAATTGGTCGATAGTTTTAACTGACCGGTGTAAAATCAATCTGAGCTATGGTTTGCATCATACTCAGTATGCTATATTCGCTCATCAAGATATTCTGGAAAGTGCATAAGAGGGACAGTATTTTATTATCTTATTATTCCGATTTTCGAAGAAAGTGACGGTTTACTTGCGCTCGGCGTGGTTTTTTTTCCAGACGAATCTCGACTTTATAACTAGCAGTTTTTGTCGGAATTTATTAATATCATGCGAAAGGTATTGCTATCGTGAGCTCAAAATCATAAAGATACTTTACATGCGATCTTGTTTGTAAAATTATGGAAGTTTAATTTTTTTTCGTTTTTGTTTTGAAAATATCCGTTTTTTAAAATATTTCATAACACTATTTCTTACTAAACACTATTTCACAGGAGTTAGAAGAACGTCTGAAAATTCAGGGCTTCGGAAAATTCAGAACGTCGGAAAGTTCAGAACGTCGGAAAATAAGAGCAGTTTTTTTTATACTTTGAGCCTGAAATCCACAGACTGCCTTTATCGAATAGCATGGAAAGACGTGTTATCCTCCATTAAATAGCTTGAATGCTACTCAGAATATCCTCATCTGAACCATTGCATACGCACTTTCCGAATGTGCAACCCCGCCGGGAAAACAATGGGAAAATGGACAATAAACGCATTAGTAGTAGTAGTATATTCAAAATAATAATGGCTTTTTATAGGTCAGTGAGATGCTGGAAGATCTAATGCAGGACGAATTCAACACAGAATTGGACGACAACAGTCAAATTGAAATTGGAACTCTCCTTTGCAAATGCTACGAGCTGTACACCACCAACAGAAAGTCAGAGCTGATCAAACTGATTGGTCACGCACCAGTAGCTGCAGTGACTCAATCCGAATCCAGACTCCAACAAGGTGACGATGATGATGAAGATGATGACGAAGATGTCAACATGGATTGCAATTGCTCGGTTACAACTCACTTGAAGAATTGGCAAATTGGCGAAGAGCCATCTGTTGAAGAAGCGGAAGAACTGAATCTACACGGTGATAAAGTAGCAAACGATAGTTCAAATATTGACATGCAAGATGATGGATGGACTGAAGTCTCAAAAAAGAGTAAAACTAAATCGAGAAAACCATGATATTTGATTTTATGTCTTTTCCTCGATTTATTTTTGCCGAAATTTTTTTTCAAAAAGTTGAAATGGACAGTTTACAGATGTGTTAGAAAACTAGCAATCTTGAAACTCTTTGGGCCTCTTGATGTCTGATTGAAGTCGATTCCGTGGAAAATACACTTTCCAATCTTATTACGCATCAGCCTGAGTATGATAAACCTTGATTTTGTTGGCGTAAAAGATTCAGATATTAAGACTGTTCTTATAATTTCGCATAATTAGAAATTGTCAAAAACTCTATCTAAATATTAAGCGAATAACATGTGTAAAATACTTTGAGGTTTAATCGCTGTTTACCAAAAGTTTAATTTTTGAGATCGATTCGCGCTATAAAGTAAAGTTTCTGCGTTCGGTGAGCTTGTTTAGAAATTTGCGCTATGAAATAACAAATTATTCAAGTTTCATCACTTGATGAGGTTGCATAGAAAACTTTGTTTTTGCGTGCCGTTTCTTGTTAAAATGTAACTTGAAGTATATTTAAATTTCATCGCTTGATGAGCTTGCTTGAATAATTTAAGCTCTTTGCGAATCGAGTCGCACTATGTATTAACTTGAAATAATGTTCAAGATGCATCGTTTCAACTCATTTCGAACCGATTAGTGCTATGGAATAACTCGAAATAGTTTTCAAGTTTCGTCGCTCGATGAGCTAGCCTAAAAACTGATGTTCTTGCGTCACGTTTTGCGCTGTAAACTAATGGAAATAATTCAAAGGGTCATCACTTGATGAGATTGCATGGGTTAACTACTTTATGCGAATCAATTCGAATTTGAAAACCAACTGAAACGTTTTTCGGTTGTATGGCTTAGTGGAAAAAACTTATCTTTTAACTAATGGATTCAAGCTATAAAAACAATATTTCAAAAGTTTCATTGCTTTATTATCCTGCTTTAAAACGGTTGCTAAATTGCAAACCATAGAGAATGTAAAATAGAAAATGAATTGAAACTTTTATCGCTTGATGAGCTTGCTTGAAAAAACTTCATTGTTTGGGAACGCAATTAGCCTACGAAAGGAAACAAAATGTTTTGAAGTTTATTCGCTAAATACCTTACCTAAAACAATAACTTTTTGCAAATCGATTCAAATTATAAACAATGAAACAAGGATAGTGGATTACTGTGCAAGTTGCACAAAGTTCCGACCAGTGTTAAAAAATTACAACAAAATTATTTTTCCAATTAGTGTCTTTTTTTTCGGCTTGGTGTGATAATGGAATCTGAACGAAAAAAAAGAACATAGCTATTTTCAACAATCATTGTAGAATATGCAAATTGGAAATTTTTTGCGAAGACAAAAATTGTTCCTGAATTTTTGAAGTATTTGATTCCTAAGCTGAAGCTAAAAACTCCAAAATTTAACTTCTTTTGAGTAAACCTAAAATTTCAAGACTTAAATTAAGCATAAATAAGCTAATGCAAGCCTGCTCACTCGCTAGCTCGAAATAAGACAAAAAGTCAAAAATTTCAAACCGATTTTCTCGACACCGGGAAAAACTTTTAAAATTTTTTATATCCTTCGAATCACGACTGAAAGGGCTTTTATATGATATATCCGTCCACCCAGTCCAATCATTATTAGTGGTACCTGATTTTGCGTGGAAAACAAAAAGAAAAAAACAAACACACCCGAATACAAAGTTCCTCCCCAGTTTCAAAGGTCAGAATTATAATTAAAAGTTTATCATCGCTCAAATAAAGCTCTACTTGCTGTTTAATTTTTGGAAGCTATGAAAAAATTCAAGTATTTCGAATTTTTCCTTTAACTTTTTCTACTTCAAGTCGTCATCATTTTATGAGCTTAATTTAAAGCATTCTTCATTGAGATAATCAATTCAAGCTATCAGAACAACTTGAAATATTTCCAAAATTCATCAGTTGATAGCTATCAAAAAAATCTTTAGCCTATCAATTCAAGCTATCAAATAACATAATACGCTTCATCAGGGGCGGATCTAGGATTTTCTCGAGGGCGGGGGTGGATTTTCAAATACTTATCGAAAATTTTGACCTTTTTTTGGTTGGTCAAATTGATTTTCTGAGGTCTCCTGTAGCAGTAAAGTGACGATGTTTTGGCCGAAATTTCTGGGAAACAGGTAAAAAAAGCCCTTTGAGGGGGAGCGTTTTTTTGGAGCTCGCTCCCCCTCAAAGTTAGTATATATTGGCGCCAAAGGCGCCTTTAGAAAAACTTAAGGTGAGTCGGCCAAAAATGTGTTTCTTAAAAAGTACCAAAATGAGACCCTTTGGGTCGGCAGGGGGTCGAATGCCTGAAGTCGAAGCGTCCGCCCCCCCCCCTAAATCCGCCCCTGCGCTTCATTGTTTCATCGTTTGAATGACCCGCTTCAAAAACTTGAACTATTAGTTAACCTTTCAGGCCATAAGAGACTCTCTAGATGTTTCTTAGTTTCGTCGCAAAAAAGCATTTCAAGCCATCAAAATCATATGAATAGCTTGCTTGAAAAACATGAAGTATTTCAAATGTTGGTTTTGAAGGATACAAATTTTACAAAGCAACTCAGGTGATCAAAAAATTTCTTTTACTTGAAGGCACCGTCATTAAAATAGCTGCCAAAAAACTTTCAGCTAAGAAACATATTGAATTTTAAAAAAAACTCATCGCTCGGGAAAGTTTCTAAAAACTGAAACTAAATTTGGCGAAGCCATCAGCTATCAAGTTTACTATTTATTTCAACTATTTATTTCAAATGTTTTTCGTAAGTGTTCTCGCTAGAATTCATAGCGAGGAAAAAACCAAGGTCGTGAAAATGATTTTTCTGGTGAACGCAGAACAGTGTGTGAAAAAGTCAAAAAACTAAAAGATCGAAACAAAGTTCACAAATTGCTCAAGCGCTGTTTTAAAGTTGATTTTTTTAATGTTTTATTTTGCGTATTTTATGACATTGAATTCTGGTTTTAAATACCGAAATTTATGTCCGTTCGATATTCTTTGTTGACTTGTCATTCAGATAATTACGGTTAAATTACGTATGAAATGAAATGTTGTCAATCAAACAGCTACCCGAAACCGATCTACCTCAGAACCGAAAGGAAGGAGACAGAAATAGTAAAAATATGAATTTTTATGCGTGGTTTGAACCTTTTAAAAAGGGTTCAAAAACAGTTTGCATCATTTGAAAAGGTTCAAACGACGCATAAAAATTCATATGTTTACTATTTCTGTCTCCTTCCTTTCGGTTCTGAGGTAGATCGGTTTCGGGTAGCTGGTTGATTGACAACATTTCATTTCATACGTAAATTAACCGTAATTATCGGAAATACCGTACAGTTTGCATCATTTGGAGTTTCAACCCATTTTTGAAATGATTCAAAGCCACTAAGTTACTTTTTTGAGGCAATTTAAATAGAATATCAAGGAAAGAAGTGAAGTCAAATTTTAGGGGATGTTGTTTTTTTTCAGCAAGAAGTTTTGAATATTTTTGTTGCTGAAAGAAAGCTAAACTGTTTTCGATAACAATAATGCAATTAGCGTGAAGAACTTTAAATAATTTTATATGAAACTTCGGGCATTCAAGTTCTTCACGCGATTTTCATTATTGTTATCGGAGATCATAGCTTAGCTTCCTTTCAGCATGAATATATTCAAATTTTCAGATTACGCAGCTAATTTTGTTTAAGTTTCCCAATTAAAAAAACTAGATGCGGGATTTTTTTAAATCAAAAATGTATCAAATACAAAAGATTCGGGAAATTCAGAAAATTACAATTTTTCTTTTATTTTTTTAAAACATTTTTTCTTTAAATAAAAATACCTCAAAGAATTCAGATTTTTCTACTCTCTTGGAGTTAATTGACACTTTAACAGCTCTCTGTTCTTCAATTTAACTACTGGTAATTATTCTGAAAAAATTGGTAAAAGAAATGATAGAAAAATTAAACTTTTTTCATATTTTTCGGTGTCAATGCAGAGCACTAAACTACAGCTGATGTTTGCTGATTTTTGTTTGCCTGAAAACCTTATTGCGCTCTGAACAAAAATGCGCAATTTTCTACCAAATTGTTGCCACACTCCCCAATCGAAATTGCTAGACACGTTTTTGGGAGGGTTCGTTTCAGTTTTAGTTTAATCAATCACAATGTTTTAAGCAATTTCTGTTTCCAGTCAGTTTTTAATCTCGTTCTCCCTAACATCAATACCA